GCTTGCTTTTTGCCAGAGGATTTATTGCTTTAAAAAAAAAAAAAAAGCTAACCAGTCGATTCTGCAGATGCTGTCTGCTCTCTTGCTAGAGAATTTTTGAGGAACAACAGGGTGACAAAATCACCTGATCTTCATGATAACAATACTTAGCTACAAGTTGTTTCATTATTTCATATATATTTGCTGTTCTCGATCTCTTCAGAGTGCCCCTTTTTTAAACATGATGATAATCTAATCCATTTTATTGATAAAGAATGTCTTTTAATGTATTGCTTCTTTACATTTGAAAAGTAAATATATATATAAATGTATTACGTTTCTGTAAAATATTAATTATTCTGCTTTTCTTTCATTTATTTGGTTTTGGTTTTTCTACAGAACACCAGAAGATGTGCTACACAGCTTTGGTACTAACTATGATTTTCTCAATGGGAGAGCAGCTGCCGTATCACCACTATGGTATGATACGTCTTCTTGCTTGCACTCTTAATGTGCACTCAGATTAAAGCTTGCATTAGGAGCACTGTGTGAGCAGATCTATAACTGCAGACGCGTCTGTGTTTGCAGAGCATCTTAGTGCTGAGTTTGTTCGGTTTCTTTTGGGTGTGGTGGAGGACGGGCTTCCCTCTGATCCCACCGAGCAGCTGCCGGACATCTTCCTGAACCTCCTGCTGGCCTTCAACCTGCACCACACAGGTCAGAAACTCAACAGGACATATTTAACTACCTATTGAAACAACACAAAACTATTCTGTCTGTTATGGGAGTATTTGTACGTTTGTTGTTGTTTTATCAGAAATATCTGTTTCCAAATAAAATACATGTCTGTTTTAACAGTACCAAGCAACAATGCAATAATGCAGGAGCTGAAGCAAAAAAATGTTAAGATCCTCACAGAGAAAGTGCTGCTTCTGCTGAACAGAGGAGGTACCATCCTGCAGTTATATTCTTCTTTGTTAAAAGCTCTGACATTTATTTTGCTTAGTAAAATTTCCTTTTCTGTTTCCTGCAGAGGATCCAGTGTGCATGTTCAAACACACGCCGCCTGCACCTCACTCTGTTCTAAAGTTTCTGCAGGACGTATTTTCCAACCGAGAGACTGCCGACATCTTCTATCGCACCGACATGATGGTGATGATTGACATCGCCGTCCGACAGATTTCTGACCTGTCACCTGGAGACAAGGTGAGACTCTCCTCCCAGCAGAGGACCCAGCAGGAAGGCACTTTTTGGAGACGAATAATGGAGCCTGTAAACCTGCTATTTAGTACAGGTGACATCATGTGTCAAATATCTTATAAAGCTAATCTAAAAACTCATTTATTTGAAAAAAAAGGGGAAAACAGTAGTGAGAAATATGTTTAATATTAAAATCATCAAGATACCACAAAATATTCTTTCATTAAATAGAATATAATAATGAATAGTCTAAAACGAATTCAAGTTTGTTTGATAATTAATTCTGATTACAGGTAGTAGGCTGAATAAACTCAGAAAGCAACACATCACCAATGATCTGAAGACAGTCATGAAAAGATGAGTCAGAAAAGGGAGTCCTGTGAATCAAAGAGTAAAATAATACGTGTTGAACCACAAGAGACTGGCCTCCCAAAATTACTCCAAAAACACATGCGGTGATTCATGAAGCATGTCACTGAAAAACCCAGAACACCGCAGGCCTCTGTAGTCTCAGGAAAGGTGTTGATGATTGAACAAAAATCAGAATCAAGTTAACTGCCAAATAGTAGGTTTGCACGTACAAGGAATTTGATTTTGTGTTGATGGTTGATGGTGCAGACAAATTAGATATTTATACAGAATACAAGATCTCTAGCTATATACGATATAAAACATACTATATACTGTATTTAATATATAGTACATATCTATGTACACTATATACACAGTAGACTGTGTGTGTTAATGTAACACATTAGAGATGCTATGTTGGTGTAGCTTGTAGGTCCTGAACAGGGGGAGGGAGAGAGGTAGTGTCAGAGTCACGGGGGGGCTCTGGGCCTTGTTGATAAGGCTGGAAGCGGATGAGAACAAACTGTTCTTGCGGCGTGAGGTTTTTGTCCTTATGGACCACAGCCTCCTGCAAGAGGAAAGTGAGTAAAATAGTTTGTGGCTGGAATGCAAGGGACCAGCCACCATCTTCCCTGCATGCCTCATAGTCCTGGGGGCGTTCACCAGCGTACCAGATGGTGATGGAGGAGGTGAGGATGGACTCAATGATGGATGAGTAGAAGTGCACCATCATTGTCCTTGGCAGGTTGATTTTTTTTCAGCTGCTGCAGGAAGTACATCCTCTGCGGGGCTTTCTTGGTGAGGGAGATGATGTTTATCTCCTACTTTAAAGAAAAGACTCCACAGTGTCCAATTAATGAGTCACAGAGGGTGAAAAACATAGGAAAAAGTGGTATCAGTAGAACAGTTTTGATGTAAAACCCCTGCTGAGTAAAAGTGAAAATTAAAGTCTATCTCCTATGTGACATAAAAATACCATTGATGATTCCTAAGTTTATGCGAAAATACTTTAAACTAATGTGACAAAAGTTTGCGTTTCTGAAATGTGCAGCATCCTGTTACATCTGAAGAAACATTTAACACATTTCACAAAAAGAACATCATGCTGAAACATAGTGGTAGGAGTGTGATGATCCAGGGCTGCTTTCCTGCTTCAGGACTAGAAGGACTAGCCTCAGTTGCTGAAACAATAATAAACAACAATCCCAATGAAACCAACTTTAAATAACCTCTGATTGGCCTCAAATAAATGTGTTGATTTTTCTTTTGTAATTTGACTCAGTGGTTAGTGTTTTAACAGCCTGCAGTGATGCTGATTTATGACAATTCTACAAACAGCAATATGTCTAAAGTCTTTCAGGGCAATAAAACCTATTGGAAGCTTAAAGATTGATGCCAGTTTTTGCTGCTAATGGAGTCACAACCAAAAGCTTTTTTGTTTAAGGGATATGTTTATGTAAATTATGTTACTGCTGGTATGTATGATTTGCATCCCTGTTGTTTTTAGTGACCACTTCAATGTTTGTATCTGCTCCAGATGACAGCAGTGGTCTGATTTTTATTTTATTTTTTTCATTAAATTCTAATTTTCTATATTTGCCAACAACTGCAATAGTTCCACCTTTTAGTAAAAAATCTTGCACTAGGCAACTTATGCTAAGTATGTATGTTTAAATCAATTAAAGTTGTAAATATTTATTTGCTTTCAGACAAAGAATAAAAGATGTTGGTCTTTCTAACTCAGGCGTATTTACATCTGTATATGTTACTAATGCTTATTAAGAACACGTCCCTTTCAAAGACTGAATAAGATAAATGTTTTATTTTTTTTAATCTTCCTTGAACTTTCCCACAGCTGAGGATGGAGTACCTCTCCCTCATGCACTCCATAATACGCTCTACGGACTACCTGGAACACCAGCACCGGCTGTCTGACCTGCAGGGGTCACTGAAGCGGATTCTCAGGGAGGAGGAAGATCCAGGAGAGGACGAAGGAAGCGCCACAGCAAAACAGATGGATAAGCTAATTGTGCAGCAGATCTTCAAGGAGTTTCCACAGATCTGTGACAACCAGAACTGACCATATCCGTGTTATGCACATTCACACGCTGTAGTTTAGTTCCTGTCTGCTGGGGGGCTTCCAAAAAAGATGGTTCTGCTCCAGCCGAGGACAACAAAAGCAGACTCTCCAGGGCTTCACAGTTCAAGTTGCCACACTTCTTAAGCAGTTAGCTCAAATAATAAAGACAGTTCTTTTATCTTTTAAAAAACTTTAAAGTACAGAAGAGTTCTCTTTTATTTCTTTAATATACAGTTAGCCTAAATTAATAGCAAGCAGCTCCTAAAGATAATTTTAAGCAATAAAAACTAAGTTTCGCATGAACTACCTACATTTGCTATGTCAGATTAGATTAACTGCATCTTAAAGTGGAATTTTATTCTAACCAAACTAACTAAACCAAATAGATTTCAGAGAAAATATAAAGAGCCAAATCTGTAGTTTGTATCAGTGCCATTATTTCAACTTGGAGACAAATGTTTTGCAAGCTTCCCTTTGTAGAGGACCCAAACTACTGAGTGTAACGGAGAGTATTATTTTCTTAAATGGTAACTGCACTCTTACCCCTAACTTCCTGTGCCATGAAACATCTCATTAAATAATACTTAAAGCAAGCTGAGCAAGTTTACTTCCTTAAAAAGCACCTCTACAAAACTGTAGTTGGGTTTGCTGCTTCTGCTGCTTTGAATTCTCTGCTGTATCCGTTTCCTTCTTCTACAGTTGTTTTTTTAAAATACCATCTACTAATAATAATTTGTTTTCCCTAAATGCAATGCTTTGTATGACATTTAGAACTCGCAAACAGCTGAATTGCAGCTGTATTGTTGTACTGTACTTGTTTGAATTATAATCTTTTGTTCCTGCTGAAAAAAAAAGATGCATATAGAGGGAAGGCATTTTTATGTTTTTTCATTTTCTCACTTTAGTGTTGTGACTGATTATCCCGCTCTTAACATATAACTGTTGACGGTTCTGTTCCAATAGAAACTCCTCTCCTCTTACCTGAAGATCCATGTCTGTTTTTCTTTGACTAATTGTGTATTTGTTTACAGTATGTGTAAAGTGTATGTTTGAGTGAAACATATTCATGATTGGCATTGTCTGCTAATATGCTGCACCTGTGTAATAAAACTAATAAAGTATATTTTAACAGAGATATTGCTTCAGTTGATGGTGTGGAGCAATCATGTAATATCTAAAGCTGTTGCACTCTGAGCACAGCAAAGCTGGTTAACTACTGCTAACTATATGAATTAGCATTATATATGGGTAATAAATAGAAATATATAGTTGGTAAGTTATGTCCAACCCATCATGTATGTTGTATTTTAAAGAGTCACTACTTCTAGTGATTATTTTTATTGATAATTCAGGCTTTAAGTTTCCATTCGGACTATATAGATGGTCGTACCGCTGAATGGTTGTGTCACGGTAAAATCAGTCCGGGTAGAAGTGGGTTAAAGGTCCTTTGGACTGCAGTGACAGCAGCAGCAGCTCTCCGGAGGATCTCTCGGTGGAAAAGCAGAGAAGGTTAGAAGTTGTTTGGTTTCTACTGACCTGTTTTTCTGTGTAGTATCTTTTCCCTATTTAGCTCACTAATATTTGTTTATTTTTGTTCCTCTGTCTTGCAGAGTGCGGGAAGCAAAAATGGCCAAACAACAGCAGCCGATCAGCCCGCTGAAGAACTTCTTCGCCGGAGGTTTCGGAGGGGTTTGCCTGGTTTTCGCCGGACATCCACTGGACACCATCAAGGTAAATATCGCTGAATGTTGTGTCTGGGTTTTCCTCTGCCCTGATCGGGGAAACAGTCAACAGAATGCATCCGGGTTCAGCTGACAATTTGAGTTTATAAAATACAGCCTGTAGTGTTAAGTGTGTTGTGTCACTGTTGCTGGATACCTTTGACCCAGATATAGGAAGTCACGTGATCACTGCAGCTCAGGTAAATAGCTCAGAGTGATGATGATCCAATGATCAGAGAAACACCTACATGAAGACTGAGACCTCAGACAGTCTCATTCATTTACTAACAAAGTGGTCATCCTACTTTTTAACTTCTTAGGGTGTCAGACTTCCTCTTAACATTTGAAAGTGGTCTTCATCAGTTCTACACACTTTGTGACTGTGTTTTCTTTGGATTTAGCTGCTTGATCATCTTTTAGTCTGATGGACCCCCCCCCCCGCCCAAAAAAAAAAGTATCTTGGGCTAATTAATGCACCTCACTCCTTTACAGAATGGAAACCGCAAAGACCAGACCTGACACAAGCATTGTTCTTCACCTTCACATTTCAGTGAATAGCTATTTCGACATCAAATCACTGTTGTCGTAACATTAATTGTTTCAAAGAATTAAAGTGAGTGAAAACTGTGACACAGTTGCAAATGCACCTAAGATCTCCTTAGCCTCAGAGTACGATACCCTCTCACCAGGCTCATATCTACATATTTCTGTAAATGCAATTAGTTTTATTATGTACCTCTGAATAAACAAAAGCTTTTTAACAATTCTTTAGTAGGGCTGGGTATTTTGGCCAAAGTCCTGAATCATTTAGATTTCGATTCATACAGTTCTAAATGGATTCATTTCGATTCAATCTGTTTTTACAATAATGAAAGTGGTTCAGCTGTGTTTCAAAATACTCATGTATTTTATTTTTTCCTGTCACATTAAAAACAAAGTGCAAACTTGTAAATCAGACAGTTTAAACTGCAGATGTGAACAAAACTGTCTCATAAGTGCAAACTTGTTTGTGAAAAGTGAAAAAGTGAAGCCTCACTCGAGCAAGCAGTAGTGACACAGCAGACATTCATGAGCTGCATTATATTCACTGCACAAACCATATTTGCAGCGTTGTCTATAACAACTACAGGGTGTTTTCTGGTCAGCCTCCATTTGTTAATGTCTTCAATCAACCTATTGGCTATATTTGCAGCTGTCTGGCTTAAAGTCATCTTGAGTGCATTTTTCCTGCTCATTTGAACGCGAACATTACGCGGGTCACTATAAAACTATTCAATCTCATTCTCTAGACATCGATTTTGCAAAAATTTAAAGGAATCTATTAAAAATCGATTTTTTTTCTTTTTTTTTTTTGTACACAGCCCTATTCTTTAACAAGATGAACAGATCGAAGTCTTATCTAAAGATATAATTAAACCAATTCAATGCAACCTGATCATTCACCCAGTTTCATTGTACATCACACGTTAAATCCAGGTTACGTTAAGACATGTCAAACTTGGTTTATAATGTTAAGCATCTCAGTGAGCTTGGCTGATTTCATTCAGTTCCTTAAAGATGATTTAATAGAGAAGACGAATAACCCCTGGAAGAGCCTTCAGTTCTTCATAGTTGGACTGCTTTTATCTCCAGAGCTGCCTTAATCCTCAGTCCCATAGATTGTTGCTGCTGCTAAGACTCATCAGACCAGGCAATGTTTTTCCCAGACTTCCAATCTGGCCTTTTCTGTGCTGAGCTGAAAAAAGGCAGCATTTGCTCTGCTGCTGTAGCTTATCTGCTTGAAGGTTCAACGTGCCGAGTATTCAGAGACAACCAATTTGATTGAAATAAGTGACTTATTAAGCTACCGATGCCTTTCAGTTATATTGAACCACAGAAGTAGACGCCACTCTTCTTCTGTGGCATAAACAGGCCTTTTCTGTCAATTTAATCTCTGCCAGTCACATATTTAATTTTGTGGACCGTTCCCTCTAAACCTTGGGATAGATCAGCTGTCTGATCCAGTGTTCAGTGACTTTTTTAAAAAAATCTCCCCTATTCTCATGCTCACATCCAGATGCCCGTAAACGCAAGTAACTGGCTGTTTCACTGCTTGTGACGTACCTGATAACGTGGTTTGTGAATGTATTTTAATTGCATGCAAAATGCCCTTTTTTGGTCAGTTTCTGCATATGTACAGAAAGGAGTGTATTCATGTTCTTCTTCAGATGCTCCCTGATGTCACTGCCTATCTGATTCCTCTAATGATCTTATAATTTCTGATAAGAATAAAACGTTGCTCTTTCCCTTCAGGTGCGCCTACAGACTCAACCAAAACCCAAACCTGGAGAGAGCCTTCTGTATGCTGGAACCATCGACTGTTTTAAAAAGACCTTGGCCAAAGAGGTGAGCAGACATCTTTCAGGAGTTCATCGTTATCTTTCCTCTCTTCTCACAATGATGTTTCTTACAGGGTGTAAAAGGATTGTATAGAGGAATGGCGGCCCCAATAATAGGAGTTACGCCCATGTTTGCTGTCTGTTTCTTTGGATTTGGACTCGGCAAGAAGCTACAGCAGAAGACACCTGATGATATCCTTACGTAGGTGACAGTTTACTCCAGGGGGTTGTCTTTATGCTGCGGCGTAGGACTTTTCCTCAGCTTTCTCTTCTGGTCTCCAGGTATCCACAGCTGTTTGCTGCTGGGATGTTATCAGGCATTTTCACCACAGCTATCATGGCTCCTGGAGAGCGCATCAAATGTCTCCTACAGGTCCGTTCCTGTTTTAAAAAACTCAATTTAAAATTTGAGCTAGATATGAGATTGCAGGAACTTGATTTGGAAAGAAAATGTTTTCTTTTGTGTATATGTTCAGATTCAGGCCTCAACTGGAGAGGTGAAGTATGCAGGGCCGATGGACTGCGTGAAACAGCTGTACAGAGAGGCTGGGATCAGAGGAGTCTACAAAGGAACAGCTTTGACTCTCATGAGAGGTTTGTCTTCACTTTGAGTTTGTACGGACGTTTATGAACGGATTAAAGAAATGAAGGTAAATTGGTGAAAAGTTAAGCTAGCTAGAGATCTGAAACGGGGAGTGTCCTTCTTCTGCGGGCGAGGTCCTGAATCCTATCTCTGCTTATCTGCAAACACAGGCTCAACCGGCTCCTTTCTTTACTGGCTGGGAAGCTTGTTTTAGAAGATGAGAGAAGGAATCATCTGCCACATAGAAAAAGATCGATCTGTTTAGGTTTCTGCAGATGAACCAGTTGATGATCAGGGTTCCTTTTCTGTGTTGAACATTAGCATTATTGCATTAGTAACATCAAAGCTATTATTCAATTATTTATTATGTCCCACTTCACACCAGAGGTCATTTCTTTACAGAGTGCATTAAGTTTAATTGTACAGTCAGATAGGTTAAAGGTTTTATCTATGGCTGCAACTTACGATTATTTTGTAAATCAATTAATCTGTCAATTATTTTTTTGATTAATCAATTAATAATAAGATAGCAAAAGAATACTTGAAGTAACCTTTTTGCGAAATTTGACGAAGTGAAAATAAAACTTTTCCACTTGAGGAGTTCTGGATAGAGCATATTGACAGACCAAAAAGTTTTTTATCTTAAATGCAAAATGTTGACTTTTTTTTAATGCTGATATAATTACTGGTCTAAGTGGGTCGCTCTGTCAGCTAAAGGTATGTTTTAGAGTCTGTATAGTTTAACGATTAATCGATTACTAAATTAGTTGAAAATTATTTCAATAATCGATTAGTCTGATTAATTGTTTTAGCCCTAGTTTTATCTTATAAATGTTTTTACAGGAAGAAACCTCAAGCAAGAAGACAGAAACAGACTCAGCAAAGGACATAGAAGCATTGATATGTAAAAACTTTGTATGTTAGAGAAGCTGATAATTAACTAGCTCCATTGGGGGTTCTGTCTAGGAAAACCTATGATGTTTCTGTCAGTGTAACAATCCTCAGTATGCAGTTTATCTTTGGACCGTTTGAGGCCTCTAATCTTTATCGGCCACTTTGAAGAAGAACAGCAACTACAACTGTAGACTTTCATCGATTGCATAACTAATTTATTGGGAGTTGTTGGCAGAGATTCCAGCTGTTGCTATCATACAGATGTATCTCAATAAACTGGTAATCCAGTCATTTCATACACAAAGTTAAACTCACTTATGTTGTAGATTCATTGCACAAAAATTGATGTTTCAATAGTTCATTATTGTTTGTCTTGATTATAATAGCATAGAGCTTTGGGACTGCAGATGAAAATTAGCCTGTATGACTTAATGGCATATTGACATGTTAAACCCTGTGACTGAACGTGCATTGTTCCATTTCAAATAAAGGAAAGAAAGCAAGGTAATAACAGTTCAACTTAGTAAAATAGCAAAATATAAATATAATGTTAGAACAGTTAAAAAGCAGGTTCATATCGGGCTCCAAATCAATCATAGGGAAGAATCCTAGTGATGTACAATAGTCCAACAAACAATGATTTCCTACCCCTAGGAGGGTTGGTCAGAAAGATCCTTGCTAAAGGACTGTCAGTTCTGCTGACTTTATGCAGCTTTTAATGGGAAATTAAGTGGAAGGGGAAAGTGTTGGAAAAGGTGTGCGATGTGGACTGCATGCATGAATATAAAACTAAACAACATGGCTGCATTGCATGGAAGAGCTCGGTCTGTGGCTCTGCAGAAGTATTCAGAACACCAAGTTGCTTTAGTACCAACCCTCTCTTTTTCTGCATAGTTGGTGTCTCTTATCTTCCTCCATAGATTACCTGTGTGGGATAGATGAGGCCATTTTTACGGCCATTGGAAAACCGTAACATGATGGTCACTAAACCAAGTGGTACCTTGATCAGTGTAGATCAGCTGCAAAGTCCTGCTAGAAAATTTTATCAGCATGTAAAATAAAGCCTCAGTTTCCGATCCATCAGAAAATCATGTTGGACGAGGTCATGGCGTTTGCCGCTCCTTGAAAATCAATGGAAATTATCACACTTGACTGACTCCAATTTCTGAGAAACTTAATTTTGAGTTCATGCAATTGGTAACCATAAACATCACCAATAAATGCTTTACATGAGTCGCTGTAATTTGTCTGTGTAAAATTACTTTCACTTTTTGAATTGATTTTGGTTTTTGTTTCTCATTAGATGTTCCAGCGAGTGGAATGTACTTCATGTCTTATGAATGGCTGAAGAACCTCCTCACACCAGCAGGAAAAAGGTGAGGATTTCCTGATTCCTGGTTTTCATGTCGCTAATTGTCCCCTGAGCATAATGACATGGCATCTTCCCTCTGCAGCCCCAGCGAGCTCAGCATTCCCAGCGTGCTGTTTGCTGGAGGAATGGCCGGCATCTTCAACTGGGCCGTTGCAATCCCACCCGACGTTCTCAAGTCCCGCTTCCAAACAGGTTTGTTGTCTAAAACATGATGTAAAGCCACCCTTTTCCAGGAGAAACATTTTCTCGTGGGGGATTGACTTACATAGTCAAATAGGATCAGTAGAAGGCTTCTGTGGAATGTTCCCTCTTTTTTTTTATCTGTTTAAGTTTTTAAAAAAAAATTATAAATGATGACTTTTATTGCACTTTTAACTGTACCTATGCATTATTTGTATTTTATTTTTTGTTTATTTTGAACTTTAGCAAATTTATAAGAAATGTGAGCAATGCTCCTTGTTTGCTCCTCTTAGCTTTAGATCAACAGCTGGACAACTGAAGGTTGAATTTAATCTGGTGTCCCAACAGTACAGATGTCACAGATGCATCTAAATCAATCAGTCTACAGCGTTTCTAAATATTTTTTCCACTCATTCTCTTGGTTAATGTTCCCTGTTGTCTTTTATTTCCACTTCTGTGTGTAAAAGCTGCCTGTCAGGATTCTAACATGCCGTCATCCTGAACCTCGTTTTTTTCCTCTGCCTGTCAGCTCCTGAAGGAAAGTATCCCAACGGTTTTCGAGACGTTCTGCGGGAGCTGATCCGGGAGGAGGGCATCACCTCTCTGTACAAAGGCTTCAACGCCGTCATGCTTAGAGCATTTCCTGCGAATGCGGTGAGTGTCCATCATTTGTTCCTCAGCTCAGTGGTGAGATGGAGGTGAACACCTGTAGATGAGGCAGATATGATCATGTAAGCAGTTTGGTCATTTACATATTGGCTAATAAGGTCGATGTGTCTCAAAGGTGCATTTAATCCAAATTTGTTTTGTAGGACCAAAAAGCATTAAAAGAGGCTTAGCATTTCACAATGTGTTTTTAAAAAAAAGTAAAACACATTATTATGCATATTTCCCGAGGGAAAACTGATCTTGATATTACATATAAACACATTTGTTAGTTACACATGCCGGTCATTTTGCTCCCTTTACAGTTAATATCTTTGAGCAAGTAAAAAGCTGCGAGTTATATATGTCAGTATTTTCAAGAAAGCTGAAGCAGTTCTTTCAGTCTTAGCTGATGCTTCTGCATTAAAAATAAATTAATTTCTAAAGTTTTTTTAGATGTGACCAGTGATTTTAGTTAATTAAATATAACGGATTATTGTTGTCAGATGTTAGTTGTTCTAATCAAGCTGTGTCTTCATTCTCATTTGCAGGCCTGCTTCTTAGGATTTGAACTGGCCATGAAGTTTCTGAACTGGTTAGCTCCGAACCTGTGACATAGCCTCGAAGCAGTGCCGTCTGGAGAATACCAGCAATAATAGCTCCTTTATACAGGGAGAATCATGTGAAATGAAGAGATTTTTATCAGTTTTCCACAAATATACTTGATTGTTTTTGTTGGAACAGTAGAGGGGTGGTGCAGCGCTGCTGAGAGGCCAGAGATGCTGGGGGGGATTCTGTAACGATGCCACCTCACACACAAACACAAAGACAGTCCGAATGTTCTCGCTCCTTATAGACTTTATTCTTTTATTTTTGGAGTTTGTTTTTTTTTACTAGAAAAGGAGTGAAACGAACATGTGGTGCCTTACCTTTTAACTGCTAACAGAGGAACATTTCAGGTGCATTTTAAGTCTTTGTGAGCAGCCGGCTCCTTCAAACTGTCCTCCTGGAAACGTCTCTCACTCAGTGAAAACCTCACACCGTCTGTCTAATTTGTAAATGTAAAGGCAATGTGAATGATTGAATGACATTATGTAAATGTCAGCATGAAAATTTAAAACAGATTCATCTTTAACATCTATTGTGTTGCTGTTTTTTTTTTTTCTTATATACACTTGTCTCCTTCTTTGCAAACGGGGAGATTTACAGTTAAAAAAATCACCTCTCCAGCCTTTATTAGATGGACTCTCTCCATGACTACATGAGTATAGTAAATGCAAAATAAGTTAAAAAACAAAGTAAAATACTTCTATTGAAGCAGAGTAATACTTACAAAAAAAGTCTAATAAAAGAAACCAGGGTAATAGCTTTTACAGATTTTCTACATGGGTTTTATAAGTAACAAATTCAATGATTCATAATCTTATTTAGGCCCCACAGACTCCAAAATGTTCCCATTTTTTCCAGGCATTAGGTCAATGCTTCACACACAACTCTACTTCCCAAATTAGTCAAATGGGATGATTAATTGGGTGGACGTGGTGTGGACAGTCGCACATAATTATAAACAGCTGCATCTTCCTTCCAGTCCAGGATCTATCTACCCCTCTGAGAAACAACAGGCTTTATTTAGAAGGTGCCGACTGACAGGTCGGGTGTTAAACAGTCACTCTGAAGGCCCCACCGCTATGTTGCTCAGTTATATAAAGTTCCCTGGAAAGGTGTTTAAGTAGATACACATTAATGGAAGCAGTTAGGCCTGCACCCAGCCATGGCTGTGTGATGCTCTTGAATGTTACTTCCCCTGTCACCCTGAATTTGCTTAAGGCATGGCTGGACAGGACAGGGCCATATTCCATTCTAGGATTTAAAGACGTTTGTTTAAAAGGGTTTAAAAAAAATAATTCATTCAATAATAACACAGAATCTTTATTCTGCAACCAATGAATGATTCAGGTCCTTCATATGCTTCACAAAGCTGGACATGATTTATCCAACCTTACACTGACTGAGGTGTTTCCATGATGTAACAGAAATACTTATGAACTGTGATATATTTTGAAATTGCCACCACATCATGTTGAGTTTAAAAAAAGAATTCGAAATCCCGGGTCCCTTCTGCTGAAATGTTATCATACCCAGAGGTTCACTCAGACCAGTAGTAAGGGGGTGCTTCTGCGAGATGTTAGGGTCTTTGATTAGGCTAACAGGCTTTTAAAATCTTTGAATAATTTACTGAAATGTTTTAATATGTGTTTCATACCTTCTATTTTTAATAGACACCTAATAGAACAACTAGAGGACATCAATGAGTTTAGCAGCCAGATGTCCATTTTGGCCACTGACCTACCCTCTCTAGGTCTATGGTTCCAGAGTTATTTTTGGGTATAACTAAAAAAATTAAGCTTTACAGGCAGACTTAAAAGTGCTAATATTTTCTAAAATGTTTAACCTTTATTGAATAAAAAATTATTGAGCGTTATTAGGAACTTATCACACGGTTAACCCAAGAGCATTAGTGGGGAATCAGCTGGGAATTAAATTCAATTCAGGTGATTTCTATAGCACCAATTCACTACATGTGTCATCTCATGGCAATTTACAGAGACAATTCAATAAATCATACAGTCAGATTGGATTAAAGTTTTCTAGCTAAGGAAAACCAGCTGATTGCTGTGTGGAAGGAAAACAGACAAGATCTATTTAGTGGCAGGCAGGACTTAAACTTGTAGCTTTTACCTTTAAGGCTAAGGAGTTAAATATCCAATAATGGAGTGCTTAACTGATTTTTTTCCCACTGTTATTTTAAAAGGTAATGTGTGTAGTAGTTCTAGTATTCTAGGGACCACATTTCTCTTTATTCGATCAATCCTTCCTAAAGTACCCATGACAAAGAAAGATCACCTTCTAAGATGTCATTTAACTTGTGCGAGTCTCTTAAACTTATGCAGCTCTTTGATATTTGCTGAGGTCCAGGTAAGTAAGATAAGGTTAAGGCATATGCAAGTTTATTTGTATATCACAATTTAGCAAAAAGGCAATTTGTGTTTTACATGAATTAAATAGTAAAATGCAAGGAAAATAAAAGCAGAATAAAAGCAATTACAGATAAAAACACGATAGTAAAGCAAATAAAACAGTTGGATCACAAACTTTAATTATACCCCAGTAAACAGTTTTTCCAGTCAAAGGAGGCTCTAAACAAGTGGGTTTTTAATTTTGACTTAAAAGTGAAGCCAAAATGTTGCCATATGAAAAGAAAATTACTAATTTTTGAAATTACTTTTGTGACCTGGAATTCTACCAAACTAAGACCAATAATTGACAAATGGATGGTAATGGACTATCTGGGTCAGTAATAAAAAACAAATCTTCATCCGCATAAAGCCAACATTAAATGTTAATTGTCTCCCAGTAAAACACTGGCCGTTATTTGATGGCTTCCAATAGTTTTACTAATGGTTTCAGTTTCAGCACAAAAAACAATGGTGAGCGTTATAAGCATCCTCCTGTTTACTGCTATTCAAGGCAAAAGAGCTGGACAGAGAGGTATTTACAGGAAGTCTATCAATAGGGGATCTGCACAGAAATTCAGTCCATTTAATGAAAATTGGGCCTGAACCAAAACTAGTGAGAAATTTGATTTATCTTCATATGTCAGATTACCAGTTAAAATTCTTCTTTGCCAAAACATCAACTTCAGACATATAATCCATTGGATGGCCTTTAATTACAGATGATGTGGGCAGTGCTGGTCAATAGTTCTCGGCAGGCTGTGCTAAATAAAGAAATCAATAAAAAGCAGAGATTTAGAGGATGGGGAGCAGTCTGTGTGTTCCGTGCTGATGGTGCAACTGATAAAACCGACATGTTCCAGGCTTTTAGGTTGGGCTATGTCATGAGATGAACTTGTAGAAATAGCTTTTTTGTTCCAGTCAGCCTCAGACCATCCGATCCTCTCCAACAATGAGTAATATAGAGATCCCAGCTGGTTTGAAGGAGCTGCTGCAGGGCTACACGGTGGAGGTTCTCCGTCACAGGCCTGCTAACTTGTTGGAGTTTGCTGTGCAGCATTTCACACGAATCCTGGATAATCAAAGGAACGAGCAGCAAGCCAAGAAGCACAACAGCAATCCCTCAGGGAAGGATGTCACTTTTGAAACGGTGTCAAACAACTCAAAGGAAAACGATGAAGAAGAGGAGGTGAAAGAGGCTCCCAGTGAGTGTTAAGTCGTAATCAAATAGGCTGTGACTGTGTAAAAAAGTTGGAAATTTAAAACGTTAATCTCTTGCCTTCTTTCAGAGTCCAGGAGCAGTAGGAGTCGCAGGGTCGCAGGTCAGTGAATAGCAAAAATGTTTGATTGATATAAATTAATTTTAACAATCCACATTTGATTTATTTTTTTTATTAACCTTTAGTGCTGAAGCAACAGCCTAAAACTGTGTATTTTGGAGTTAATTTAAATTTTTTTAAGTCTTTCCAAAATCTCTATTCACAATTTACACCTGTTAATACATTATAAATTGGTTACTTATTTTTTTAATTGTCCTACAACCCACTTAAAATGTCACTTTTAATTGTTTTCCACTCAGTGATGTTTTTACTAACTGAAAAACTAGCATTTTATATGTAAAACTGTATATTTCATATGGGATCTATATACTAGACTTTGAAGAGATAAGATATAAAGATTAAATCCATTTGAAACTGCTATAAGTGGCAAATCTTTAATCTTTTATAAAAGAAATGGAAAAATGTGTTTGTGTATAATATTTCTTGGGTAAAGATGTTTTTGAAAATTACTTTGCATAAAAAATTCTTGTCACTGATATTTTACTCTCCCAGACAACATTAATACCTTCCAAAATACAAATTAGCCCCAAAATATTTGTCTCTTTATCCTGGACAAAAATGTATTTCTGCAATTAGTAATAGATTTCATGGAATAATAAAATGATATTTAATATGTATTTGTCTTCTTTTTCCCTCCTGTCACTTATTGTTTATGCTGGTTGCATCTGGGATCAAAGTAGACATGTTTCATTTCTAAAATATGAATCCATGTAATATGACCTTGTATGAATTTTTATTTTTATTTTGACGTAAAGGTCAAAAAAGGCTTTTTTTAACAAAAAGGAGCACAAAATGAATGTTACAATAACAGCTCTGCTCTGTCTCAGTTTGTGCAGAGGCTTATGACCCTGACGATGAATCAGATGATAACAGTCAGCCTCAGGTTGTGAATCCCAAAACAGACGAGCAGCGTCGACGGCTTCAGGATGCATGCAAAGATATTCTGCTGTTTAAGACTCTGGAAAAGGTAAAAAACAGTTGAAATCTACATATACATGAGGTATAAAACTTGTATGATGTACATGATGGTGATGACTGACCTGTGGATTCACACACACGCATTAGGCAGAACAGAATGTAATTAAGCTGTTGTTTAAACAGTTTATTATGAAACCTCTCTTAGCAGCATGCATTCTGCAAATTACCACAATGTTTTTATTGAACACTAAAGATGCATAGGCAAAACCAATATAACGCAGAGGTTCAAATGTGACTTTTTTTCTCTTAAACATCACAAATAACATTAGCTCAGTGTGAAGAAAATCTAAAGTCTGTTCTTCAAATATTTGGGACAGATCAACATATTAGAGTCTTGGCTCTAATCTTTCTTCTTGCTCAATGATAAATAATCGGTAATATATCTTTACAAATTTGTATTATCTGCAAGAATGACTAAAAAAAAGGTCACTCCAAAACATGCTAAAATGAACATCATTGAACTCACAATGGAGAAATCCATATATAGCATTTAAAAATAAAGAGGAATATGAAATCTATTAGGCACCGTCTTTATTTCATCAAACACTTTTTGTGCTTGAAAATAAAACTCAAAGGAATTTGTTGCCCATATTCACACAGGAACAGTTTTCTGAGGTTCTGGACGCCATGTTTGAGGTTCAGGTCAAACCTCAAGACCACATCATCGACCAGGGAGACGATGGGGATAACTTCTACGTCATAGACAAGTAGATTACAGTTTTAAAAACCCAGCATATGTTTAATTAGAATACATCTGTGTTTGGCAATAAAATGATTAATGTTCTGTCATTTTAGAGGTGTGTATGATATCTTTGTGGCAAAGGATGGAGTGAGTGTGTGTGTGGGAAAGTATAACAACAAGGGCAGCTTTGGGGAACTAGCCCTTATGTATAACACGCCGCGAGCTGCCACCATCGTAGCAACAGAGGAGGGCACTCTATGGGGCCTGGTGAGTGAACTACACTGCTTTTGATTTGTTTTTGCTTTTTTGGTTTCTTTTTGCTAATCTAAACCAACCAGAAGGTCCTTTTGTGTCCTGTCAGGATCGAGCCACATTTCACCGACTGATTGTGAAAAACAACGCAAAGAAGAGGAGGCTGTATGAGGCCTTCATAGAGTGTGTGCCTCTTCTCAACTGTCTTGAGGTTTGTTATTTAGAAACAGGCCTTATGCAAACAAATGCACCACAAAGATGCACTAACATCATCAGACGTTTTCCTCTGCTCTAGCTCTCTGAGAGGATGAAGATAGTTGATGTTTTAGGAGTACGAACATTTAATGATGGCGATCGCATTATAGCACAGGTAAGCAGCTTTAAATCTGTCACTTTTAGATAATTTTAATGTTTTTATATTAATTACAGAATAGTGTCTGTCGCTGCAGGGTGACAGAGCTGAATGTTTCTACATTGTGGAAACAGGGGAGGTGAAGATACTGATCAAAACCAAAGTAAATTTACTGTAATAAGCATATCATGAACATACTGTTTTTTTTCCCCAGTCTCCTAATTACAAACCGATCTGCCCTCTGACCAGTTTTTTTCTCCTCTTTCTGCTGCAGACAAAGGTGAACCAGCAGGATAACACAGAGGTGGAAGTGGCTCGTTGCTCCAGAGGGCAGTATTTTGGAGAGCTGGCGTTGGTCAACAATAAACCCCGTGCAGCCTCTGTCTACGCCGTTGGAGAGACCAAATGTTTAGGTTTGTTGAACTCCTACCATTTTCATAATTTGCCAGGAACCCTGAGTAGTTAAAACTTGTAACCTTTTTTTTAAGTGAACAATCTGGATAATCAGCAATAATCGGTGTCTATAAGATTTACTTTGAGCAAAAATAGTTATATATTTTATATATCAGCTTATTATATTTAGATGTTTCCTAATCTCTCAATAGATGCTTGCATTGTTTTGTATCTTTAATAAACTGACAGAGGTAAGAAGCCTTTGTCATTTGTTTTTGTCCATATTAAAGGTGACAACTATAAGTTTAACTCCTCCCAGCCACTAGGTGGTGAAATTTTCTACTCTGTTTTCCGGCATTTTTCAGGTCTGCTAATGCTAATGCTTACCTGTCTAGAAGAACAGCTTGTTGTTCATATAACCACATCCTCTTTGCTTCCTTAACCTCTTACACCCTAAGGGGGTATAAATAAATTTCTGCCTGACAAAAACACACAAAAGTAAATAACTTATAGCCTCAAAGCTATTAGATTTAAGAAGAAACTTTTGGTACGTCTGTAAAGGTAAGATGTCATAGAATGGTTTTCTGGTGTCAGCACCATTGTAGCTTTGACCCTGCCTGAAATATTAGGGACAAAATACAAAATATTTTGCATTTTTTGAACCTCGCCAAAATTTTCTTTGAAATAAACATTGCAAAACACTACCAAAATATTATTTATAGCACAAAAAAGTAGTACAGACTTTCAAATCTAAATGTTGTGTAAAAATATACCAAATTTGGACTCAATCAGATGAATCATATTTATTTTAGAATGGTATTAGTGAGAAATTTCTTAGGCGGAGAGGCCATTTTGGCACATTTATCCATAAATGTCACCAAACTGTGCCAAATATGTTTTTTACATCAATACTGGGGGTTTGGTAAGATTACGAGGTCACGTAGCAGCTGGACCCGCCGGTGGGTCCGTAGGGTTCATTTCTTAAAATATTTTGTAATCTTCACCCTAATTCAGCTTCTATTTTTTTTATATAAACTATATATTTTTTCAATAAAGTTTATACTTTTATTCTGCACTACTCTAAACCTTCTGTTGGATAATATATTGTTTTCAAAATGAAGGGTTTTGATGAACGGTTGTAGCTTCAACCTTTAATTCGTATAGTCCTCTAAGTATATTTTAAACCTTAAATTTACTACACAGTGCTTGTCATTTGGATAAGGATTATCAACTTTACTTGTCAAGGCAAATTGACAAGTAAAGCCACACTATGGCAGCCCACTGCTCCCAAAGGGTTAAATGCAGAGGAAAATTATCCCATGTGAGATAAATAAAATTCAAATATATAATTATAAATATTATCCAAGGGTATCTAAAAAGCTGTCTGCGCCACCTCAGCTGACTCCTCTCGATGAAGCAGCTCTACTCCAAGCCTCTCCTGTATGACCGAGCACCTCATCCTATCTCAGAGGGAGTGTCAAGCCACCCTGCTTAAAAAGCTAATTTCAGCCATTTGTATCTCTGGATCGCATTCTTCATGACCATTGATGAGGGTAGGAATGCAGACCAACCAGTAAATTGTGAGCTTTGCCGTTTCAACCAGCTCTCTTTCTGCATTATAGCAACAGCTGTGTCGATCCGTCTATAGATTTCCTGCTCCATTCGCCCTTAGCTCTAAGACCACAGGATAAATGAGCGCCTCCACTTGAGGCAGGAACTGTCCTCCAACCTGAAGGGGACAAGCCTCCTTTATCCATCTGAGAACCATTGCCTCGGACCTGGAAGACCTGATTCTGGTCCCGTCCCCATCGTACTTGGCTGTTATCCTCTCCAGTGCCTGCTGTAGGTCTTGGCATAAGGGAACAGGTGGGAGGAAGCCAGAGTACCCGGTGAGAACCCATGCATGCTTAGGGAGAACATGCAGACTCCATGCAGAAAGACCCCGGGCCGGGAATCAACCTTCTTGCTGCAAGGCAGCTGTGCTACCCACTGCCCCACTGAGCAGCCATCACCTAGCAAACAATTGAAGCGATATACTCAGGATGAATTTTGTGGATACTAGGTAGCAACTAGTATCCAGCTCAACCCAGACACCAATTGCAACTCTACATAAGGTGAAAAAAGTAAAAAAAAGTAAAAAAAAAAACATGTCAAGCATGAGAGCGCGCTACGAGAACGAACAGAAGATTTATGCAGTTCTGCGTTTTTGCCACAGGTAGCAGTATCATTAGAAAATTCTGTCATGCCTCTTTAAAGGAATAGTACACCCAAAACATGATTAGCCTTCATTTTCTACTCACCTCCATGCTGAACAACACTCTGGAGTACTTTTTTGATATCTCAAATGCATCTGGAGATCTGGGAGGCTTCTTGCTGTCTGCTGACATTCAAATAATGGAGGTCCATGGCGCCCGAGACAGAAAGGTCCATAAAAGTCCACAAAAACGTGTCAATATTCCTCCATACTGCTCGTCCAATGTAATCCAAGTGTCCTGAGTGGGTAGCATCCAGAATTTACTCGAAACGAAGTCATTTAGAATGTTTTTAGAGCATAAACAGTAGTGTATAGGATTTCCTAATAGCGCCCCCATGCGCGCTCACGATTCTACGGAAGCCGGCAGACCAAACCGGAAGAAAGTGCGCATGCAGCGTCTGCTCTGCCGATAATGCAAGCGTAGAAGAAGAAATGTGCTGTTTACCTGTGCAAAGAAAGAAACAACGAAAGAAAAATGTCTGAGGACTTCAGTGTTGAGGAAGAGCATGAGTTCTTTGCCGAGCTGAATGCGCTGGTTTGGTCTGCCGGCTTCCGTAGAATCGTGAGCGCGCATGGGGGCGCTATTAGGAAATCCTATACACTACTGTTTAGGCTCTAAAAACATTCTAAATGACTTCGTTTGGAGTAAATTCTGGATGCTACCCACTCAGGACACTTGGATTACATTGGACGAGCAGTATGGAGGAATATTGACAAGTTTTTGTGGACTTTTGTGGACCTTTCTGTCTCGGGCGCCATAGACCTCCATTATTTGAATGTCAGCAGACGGCAAGAAGCCTCCCAGATCTCCAGATGCATTTGAGATATCAAAAAAGTACTCCAGAGTTTTGTTCAGCATGGGGGTGAGTAGAAAATGAAGGCTAATCATGTTTTGGGTGTACTATTCCTTTAATGCCAGCAATGCTGACCAAAGTCCTGCTCTGTTTCTACAGAGACCAGATAGCCCCTAGTCAAGAGAACCCTCCTCCAAACAGGGCACTACAAGGGACACTGTCCTCTCACTGAAAGTTAAGCAGCTGTTTGAAGTATTGAATCAGGACAGCTGAATACAAATAAAACCCATCCAATTTTTACCTATAATTGTATTTTAAATCACATTGTGATGGTTTATCATTAATGGGTTTTAATCTCCCAAAGGCAATTTTGATTGAATCTGCGATTATTCTTGTGTTTGCATTTCATCTCTGACAGCGACCCTTTTTGTTCATCAGTCACAGAGCATATGTTGAAACTGAACTTCATCCATTAAACTGGGAGGGGCAAACATCCTACTGTCCGAAAAATCAATGTGTTTTAACAGCCAGCAAGGTCAAAATCTAGCACAGAGACTCCTGTGTGTCCAGACTGAACAATTTTACAGCAATGCAGGAATTCCTTTGGCTACTTGTCTCAAAAACGGGGACGCAAAGAAAAAGAAAAAAACTTCTCACACTGGTCCAACTAAAGAGGGTTATGAAAATATATCAAGAGAAGTTTTGTCACTGGGACGAACCTGTATTAACTAAATTAACAAAGCAGGTACATTTAATAAATGGAAGTTCACTCATTTTAGAATGTAAAATGCTCATGTAGATTATTTCACAGTAAAATATTCTAAAAATATATATATTTTTTGTTTGTAGGATTAGGTCCCAAGTAAAAAAAAAATAAAAATTAGAGGCTCAGAAAATGAGAATATTAAGCATGATTAATAAAAAGGGTATTTTGAAGAGAGATAGGCCTTCTTTCACATTAATTACTACATTAAGGACGCTTAGCATGGAAGTTATCAGCCTGTGGATTGGGTTGGAAAGTCCATTTTGCTTTGCTTGTGGCCTTCAGGTCATCATTAAGCAGGCCTGCTTGCTGGGATCAATACATATGGTCATTATACCTAATCTATTATGCTGTTATGTAGAGGAGAAAAGTTGTACTTGGAAATCTCATCTGCATCTCCATAAAACTTGTCAGCAAAGCATTATGCTTAAACGTTCCCAGCTGATGGCTTATTTTGAATCACGTTTTTTTTCTTCCACTCAACTTTCCATGAATATGCTTGGATACAACACTCTGTAGGCAACAAGTTTCATTACATAGGACCCTTCTTTATTTCCAATACCGGAGTAGAGAGTATTAATGACCAGATTCCAGTCAGCAGTTGTCTCTATGATTGTGCAGCCTACTGACCCAGACTGAGAGACCACTGAGACGCTGAGGAAACCTCTGTGTTGTTAGTTAATTAGCAAATTAGTTTGTGAGATGATTTTTCGTTCACAAGCATCAAAAGGAAAAAAAGGCTATGTAATTAAACTTGTATTTGATTTCCCCTTTCTTATTAATTAAAAATAACAATTGAAGTTTGTGATGCAATTTAAAATATTGGAAAGATGTTCTCATTTAACTCGTCATTTTATGTCTTTGTTTTTGGTAACAGCTTATAAAGTTGTCAATCACACAAATATCTAAAGATGAATGCCATTTTGCTTTCAGTGATTGACATCCAGGCGTTTGAGCGCCTTTTGGGGCCCTGCATGGACATCATGAAGAGGAACATCTCCCAGTACGAGGACCAGCTGGTGGCACTGTTTGGCTCCAGTGATGATTTAAAACTCTAGTATGCTGCACTTAAACCAGCATGTTAATAAGAACATGTTTCTCATCCTTTTGAGGTGCTTTTAACACACAAACCATTTGCCAATTATACTGACGTTTAGAAAGGTGTGGTGTCTGATGCCCTCATTCAAAATACAAATATGAATCCAAGCTTTAGATTATTACAAAAATGACAAAGGCCTGACCATCTGTCTGAACATTACATTATAATAATCTGGATTTTATCTTAATTTTAACATTTGTTATTTTTTCTCGAATGTTTTTAATAGGAATCATCTTGTTCATGTATGTTCTGAAATAATTTCCCTTGTTTTGTTCACATTCAGCAATAACAATTTACATTTATTAATGTACATATACTACACACACATATATATTTTTTTGTGTGGGTGTGTGTGTAAATACTATGATATTTTTATTTAAGGTCATTGCGGTCTTTCAACACATCCAAGAGGTCCCTAGTCCTGTCATGGAGTTACTTTGCCTCAACTCTTAGATGCATTTCTTCACAAAAACAATGATCTCAAAAGAAAACATGTTAGTGGGTCACTGTAGAGTTGAATGAACTGCTGATGGATGAATTCACCTACTGGATTCAGGTCTGCAGGTGCAGGGAGGCATTTTAATGCTGGGGGGCCATAGTTCTCAATGTACAGTGTTTCCCAACCTTTTTTGACTTGTGTTCCCCTTTAGGCCTTTTGTTTTAGTACCCCTCTCAGTCAAAAGTATTCATGATTGTCCAAAAGTGAAACATACGATTACTGATTAAAAAATAAAAACTATTTTACTTAATCTTTTAATCTGAGTATTTAATTCTTCGGCATGTTATGCTTTTCATCTAAAAATAAATAAATAAATAAATATGATGATTGAAAGTTATTAAGGAATCAAAATAAATCCTAAATAAAATCATACTATAAACCTGTATTTATAAAACTGGGGCTCCCTTTACTCATATTTAAGCGTGATGAATTGGGAACAAAATACAGAACAAAAATCATAGTCAGACTTTGTCTTCATCAAGACAGCTGAGCTGCTTTGATGAGCTCTGATGAGGTCCAGAAAAACAGCTGATACCAGATTGTTCTCTAGTCTGTTCCAAAAAAAAATTAAAAGCAATCCACTGGACTTTGTTTCCAAGTTTGAAAACGTTTCGCTTCCCATCCAGGAAGCTTTTTCAATTCAAAATGTCAAAAATAGCGTTGACATCGAGGCTTTATACAGTAGCCCAGCAAAGCCTTGTTTTTGTTTAGAAAACAGGCAAATTAAAACGGATGAACGGGTCCACTCTTTGGGAAAGAGCGTCGTTTAGCTTCTGCAATGCCCCATACCTGTCTATGTCTCTGAAAGGGATGTCGTTAAAGGGAATTGGCTGCCTGGCTGAATAGGCGAGGTCTTCTTTTCCCCTGTAAAGTGGTTGCGATGATAGCGGGAAGGGATCAACTCAAATGCTGTATAGTAGTTTTTCAATAGCTGAAATCTGAGTTCTTCTGCTCTGTTTAAGGTTTTTTCTTAAGATAGGTAGCTTCCTTCACACCCCTCTAAAACCACCTATTATCTTTGTCCAAAATGTGAACATCTCTTGTCTGTTCCTCTGCTTGGTTAAAGCTGAAGGTGAACTCAAACATAAAAGAACAACTTACTTTTAGGTTGATAAAAGCTTGTTTAATTTTTCAACTGGAACCTCACAAAGCAAAACAGATTCCAGCCCTATTTTTATTTGACTACTTGAGGAATATAAAATATTTTTATGTACCCCTTGCAATGCACTCAAGGACCACTATGGGTACACGTACCCCTGGTTGGCAATCACTGCTCTAGGAGTCTATTTGAATTGTACAAACCTAACAACTATTAAGCCAAAGCGGAAGTGTGTCAGCAATCACCATGATAAGTGCTGTCTGAAAAGTACAGGTAGTAAGGAAGGAGGTAAGAAATGGAAGCAGGATTCTTCCTAATGGTTTTTCATTTAGCATCAGGACCTCCAGACATTCCTATCCACAAATTAGGAGCTTTACAGTTTGCCACAATCCTTTCTGTGAAACAACCTATAGGCACAGCCCACCTAATGCAGTTAAACAGTAATACTTATTTCATGTACTCTGTGTGACACGTGAAAATGTACACACCATGTTATGTTTTATAATAGCTTCAGCAAATGGCCATATTTGTGTAAGTTGTTTCAGGACAAATTGGAGGATTCCTTTCCTACCAATGTGTTCTTACTGACAGCCCCATGAAAGATGAAGGAAGATGAGCTGGGAAACTGTCCTGCACCGTCCATGCCCCCTTGTGGTGGAAAGTAGTGCTTGTGGTGTGATGGGAGCTAACAACTTCTGGATTGTTGTTGATAGATTTGCCCAAAAGTTCAGGATCACAACACTAGATCAATGGATTTAGATGTTCCAATCACTATACTTCCTGCATGTGCATAAAGTTTAGTGTTAATTGGACCATAATGACACGCCTGGATCATGTGGAAGACATTAACAGCATGGTTAAAGTTAATGCTGTTTAAAATGGGGATCAATCAACAAACTGGACTCTATAGAAAAGGTCCTCTGAGCTAATGAGAATGTAAAAAAAAATAAAACAATTTAGCCAATTTGTGTAATTCATAATATTGGCAGTATTATTTGGGAACTGTTTTCACTTATGGGTATCCAGGCTGTAGTTACAGCATTTTGCCGTGAAATTAAATTTTTTTTAATCATGCATTTGAAAATCAGAGGTTAAAAGTAATGTCACTTCATAGCTTTAGCCAAGCTCTGAAACCTTTCAACACAGATGTTCTGTTGATATTATGGCACCAAACATCCCTATTCAAATCATGGGGTCTAATATCCCTCCATGTGTAGTAATGAGCCATTTTAGTAATGTAGTCATATGACAAAAATAATTGTTTCAAGGTAAATGTCTCAGTTATGGAGCCACATTTAACAGCTTGGTTTTACAACAGGTTAATTGGGCCTGGACTTAAAAATACAACAAAACTCCTATTTATGCAGAAAAATTACCGAATCAGTCTCTAAAATTAGTTGGAAGCTACACAAGCAGTAGATCGGGTTTCAATATCCAAATCAGTGGTTCTCCATCCTGGTCCTTAATTTAAATGGTTTCATCAAAAAAATGTTTCAAAACAGCAGCTCCGGTTAGTTAAAGTTCTCGACAACTATACTGAACCATCTTCCATTTTCAGTTTCTAAACCTTATTTCTAATTTGAGCTGTTGCTTTTCTAATGTGTAAAATCCATACGAGCTATTAGCCAGAAAATGAGATAAAAAAAAAAAAAAGAAACAGGGTAAGGATGTTTAAGAGAAATTTTCATGAATGTTTTCATTTAAATAGAATAAAAATCTGTTATAAAATAACATGCTTACCCAAATCAATTTCTTTGACTATGAGAAAAACTTAAAAACCATGACATGAAAATAAACTATATCCGCTTGACATCAGTTAAAACACACAAAACAGACATATAGAACTAAAGCTTCACCTTAAATCATTATTTCTGGAGTTTTGTTTTATTTGAGTTACAAAATATGAAGTGCCATTAGCAGACTCTACAGAGTTTGCCAATTTTCTTTGTGTTACAAGTATTTACATCAGAAAAAGTAAAGATCCATCTAAATTTCCACACTCTGACTTCTCGTATGTCCCGAGGTAAAGTCTCTGTTAAGTCGTCATTTTTCCACTGACGTTTAAATATTTAAAATATTTACAATGTTCTGTACTGAAAAAACAAGTCTTGAAGCTTGCTCAATGTGAAGGCCCGTGCCCAACGTGACCACATCAGTGTTAAGGAAAAACAAGCAGAGATGGAGAACGTAAAGTAGCTGTTAAACGAACATGTTCCTCCTCGGGATCTCCATAGATTTACAAGTTAATACTTCCTCGGATAAAAGGCCAAGTGAGGAAGTCTGTACATGACTTATTCTAAAATTAAACAATGAAATGTCCCGTCAACCATTGCAGTGCAACAGTTTTAATGATCCTCCTGTGAAGAAAGAGGGAAAAAAAAGACATGCCACCCACAATCACCAGTTCTTATTTTAACGTTGCTTTTTTTTTTCCTTCTTCGGTGCGTCTCCAAAAACACTAGAATAAAACTTCAATAAATATAAATACAGCAGAAAAATGGTCAAGTAAGACTCATTCTGGTTTGATCCATCCCTGAGTTTTTCTGTTTTTTTGAGAAGGACAAAAATACCAGACAGGAGTGACAAACAAAAGCAAAAAAAATGTTATGTAAAAAGAAAAATTTATAAAAAGAAATGTACATCCAAACCAATTATCCCCCCACTGCATCCAGGAAAAAAAAAATAAAAATAAAAAATTGTGGGAGACTCCTCTGGTTTCCTGAGGCTCGTGGGCAAGCGTGTCCAATGATGGGAGGGGGTCCTAGCAATGTAGGTTACACAGAGGTGATGACAATCATGAGGTGTGGTGAGATGCTGGAGATCCTGTTCAAAAGGTCAGGAGCAAGCTGTGATAGGTGGCTCTCAGAAAACTCACAGGGTGGGAAAATCTGGAGCACGTAGGCGGGCTGAGAAAAAGAAAAAAGCAAGATTGGTTTTAAAAAGTTACATTTTTTTTTTTACAGCTACATTTCTCATGTAAATTTGCGTAGTTTTAACACAAACATTTATTTTTCATATTGCACTAGAACAGTTAATGAGCAACCTGTACTTGTGTGCTTGTTTGTTCTGTCTAAAATGTTTATTTTGGAATAAAGAGGTTAATATAAAAAATATTTTTGGTCCGATTTATCGATTAATCTAAAAAATAATCGTCCGATTCATCGATTTTTAAAATAATCGTTAGTTGCAGCCCTAGATTAAATGCTTAATAATAAATACCTGAAAACTAACACTAAGGTTGATGCTCATTCAACATCTATGGACCATTTAACTAATAAAAAGTAGTAAGGTTGTGCTTGTCCCAACAGTTTTGTAAACAAACCCAAACCTTTACTAATATATCTCACCTGATTGGAACCTGGATTGGGGATGTTGATAATACCAGCTGCCAATTTTGCCTGCAAGTAGTTGATGAATGCAGCTTTAAGATTTTGAGTTTGGTTTATGACGTCTTCTTGATCTCGTCCACATGGCAAAGCAAGGAGAAGACAGTAATCGCTGTCGCCCTGAAGACAAAAGTCAAAGTTCAAAATCGAGAACACCCCATAAATTCTGTTTTTGCTTTTTAGTCTCACATTCTTAAATAAAACCTGTCTGATAACATGAAGTGGATTAAATTGTCTAAAAATGCCACTTAATGACCACAGATAAAAAATGTAACTTAACAATTAATGTCACTAAAACAAATCAGCCTTGAAAGACTGATCCTAAGGCTATGGGACTCCACACCCCAAAATGGAGAAAACTGGAGATGCTGGCCAATCTAGAACAACATCTAAGTTGAGAGTTCATGATTTGACATAGAAAAAAATGGTCTCCATGGAAGAGTTTAAAGACCAAACTACTGACTGCCTTATTTATGAGGAAAGGGGGAAAAAAGGAAGTGCAAGACAACATACACATACCGTCATTCTTCTGGCTACACTCTCCAACTGAGACGCCTCTAGTCTCATTCTCTGGACAATCCTGAGCAAAGCACCTCCTTCTTGCAGAGGAAGCGATCGATGAGCCAGAGCTTTATTTCCACATACAAAATGCAACTGGACAGCAGCAGTGTCATTCTTCAGTGCCAGAAGGCCTTGCCACACTATGGGGTACTTCTGTTTAATTAGACAGAAACAGGAAAGAGTGTCAGACAAACTGGACCAACAGGTGTGAATGCATACAGTGATGTCATCTCACCGTCAGCAACTGGACCATATTAACAGGCTGTGCTATCTTGCCATCTGGTTTCGTCTGGAGGTCTGCACCCTTTGGCGAAAAAGAAAATTAGAAAAAAGCTACAAAACTATGAAAAAACAAAAGAAAAATTATTTTACTATCATTCTCCATGTTCACTTAACCTACCATACATGGTGTCACATTCAATGGTGGCTGGTTGTGCCCAACAGACGTGTCTGGGATCTGAGAATGGATGCGGTTTGGGTACATTCCTGGGTACTCTGAGAATGACCCACTAGGACCCGGTGGCATCAGTGGAACCCTCTGGGGAGATGAAACTGCAGGGCCAGACTGTCGGATTCCCATCATTCCATCCTTTGGAAGAGGAGAGTGAGGCCTCTTTGCTTCCAGAGACTTTAGGTCCTTCTCAGACACGCCTTTAGACAAAATGTGAGCTCTCGGTGATACAGAAGGTGGTAGGGTTTCTTGAATGTGTCCAGAATGGGGGTCCAAGGTCATTCTCTGCTCCCCAGTTTGATGCAGGTGCACACGCATGTCTCTCTGAGCTATGAAGGTTTCCAAAACATTTGTCCTCAAGGTTCCTCGAGAATCAGATGGCAGGGTAGCAGATGGTCTCCCTGCTTGGTGGAAGTGTCTAGATTCTTCCTGTTCTCCCTCATGACCTCGCAAAGAACCATGATTAACTTTGAGGACCTTGTCCCTGCTAACAGCCTGTGGGGAGGAGGATCGTGGCTGCATTGAACCGGACCAAGGAGAAGGCAGCTGCTCACCGTGTACGTAGTTCATCACAGACAGAGGTGGAGTGTTTACCCTAGTCTGGGAAACGCAGTGAGGAGACATTCTTCCCAAGCCTCCAGGCACGTTGTGAGGTGGCATGATAACGGACTGCTCTGGATGGTGCACTCCCGCCATATACTGCTGCATGGGGTTAAGAGCAGAGGTTAACATTACAGGGATCCCCTTAGGTGATGATGAGCCAAGGGGTGAGGACACCTTATTGAAAGGAGGATGGGGAGGGCCTGATTTCCGTGGGGATCTTGGCTCCTGTTTAATGGTGCCAAGATGTGCCTGAGCTCTGTCACCAGCTGTGACATAACCTACATGGTTCCCAGGGGGTGAAGGTAGATGGGGGCTTATAGCAGGGCTGATGGTAGAGGTCCACGGCGGCTTAACTCCATCCGTACCATGATCAATATTGTCCATTTTTTTTTTATGTTTTAACTTCATGTAGTCCGGGTGATAACCCATGACTTGCTGGTTACCCTGTCCTGGGAGACGCTTAACAACTCCTTGAGGCCCTGACTGGTATGAAGGCTCCATCTTTTCTAAACTGCTGCTTTCCTGCTTAATTGAGGACAGAGCTGATTGTGGTTTACCAGGATGCACATGATCTGTCTGTGAAGGCCCCTTCTGATGTCCTGACTGAGAATGAGCATATACATCTTGCTTAATCTGGGGAATCGACACCAACTGTTGAGATTCTATGTCGCCTGCTGTTGCTTGTGGGATTTGACTAATCTTGGCACTGATCCTCTGGGGTCCTTCTGTTTTCTGGCCTGAGTGGCTCAGCACCACCACTCCTTCTGATGTGTTTACTCTAAGACCAGAGCAAGACACAGAGTTGTAAGTGGGGCCATCAACAATGAAGCGTGCTCCTGCTTCATCAGGTGGTCCATGGTATGGTCCACCCTCATCTTTGCTGGGCCTGTAGGCTGTTTTGTGCATATCTATAGATGGGTTTCCACTGTTTAAATTAGGCTTCTCCTCAGACTCAAGAGGGTTGCAAACACGGCTAATGACAGATGTTGCCGTAGAAGCGATAACAGAGATCACAGATTTTGTCTCAGAGGTTAATGTGGAGGGTGTTCGGACAACTGATGCTGATTGAGTTGGCGTTTTACTATCCCGGAGCGGGGATCTATTCTGAATTGCAGCTGTAATGGCAGGGTTGCTTTCAGAAGGATTCTGATCTCTGGGGCTGGGCAAATTGGTTTGAGCAGAACTACTTCCTTGGAGTGAAACAGGTTTGGTTTTCATAAGAATCTGCCTCAAGTCACTTGTCCTTTGTTCATGCTCTTTGTTAATGGAGTCTGAGGCTGGTTGGCCTTCTTTTGCTGCAACTGACATATTGGCAGAGGAACCAAACACATCCTTAGACTGTTGTCGCCAGTCTTGTGGTGAAACAGGGGCTCTACATGTTTGAATGGGTCTGATATTTTGCCTGTTTGATGTCAGAGAAGGAGAAACGCAGTCAGCTGGTAAGTGTTGAGGCTTGGTGTATATGGGACTCTGACCTTGGGGAGGTACTGGCTTCATGGCTTGTGTTTGTTCTTCTACGGACGATGTCAGCTCTGATTCTGTTGCTTTAACAGCTGGAAGTTCAGGCTCTGATTTCCAGGGTGTAGGGGTAATAACGGCAGCCGCAGCAGCAGGTGGAGGTTTCTCAGACACAATCTTTACATCAGAGGCTGTCCTTTCAGCAATAGGGACTGCTAGCTCCTCACCTAATGATGGTTCTTCTTTTACATCTTTTCTGGCATACTTTGGGGCTTTGGCTCGTTTAGGCGTTCTGGGCCTTCCCTTCCAACCCTTTTTGGGTGTATTTGTTAAGACAGATTCCTCCTGATTACCGGTTTCAGATTCTTCAACCTTGAGTGGCTGGACAAACTCATTGATTTCAGATTCTGAACCAACATCAGTGTTGATTGGAGCAGCTGGGGTGAGGGGTACACTTGATTCTTCAACAGTTATTGAATCAATAGCAGCCATCAGCTCCGTCTCACTGGCAGGATTACAAGGCTTTTCCTCCTCTGGATCCGATTTTACCTCTGCAGGAGGGACAGAAGGGTTTGGTGGTTCTGTTGGAAATGCTGGGTCAGTAAGTTTGGCTATGTTTTCAACAGCCTGCTCCAGTTCCTGCTCCTGTGAGGATGAGCTCTTTGAAGCTTCTATGTCCTCTTTCTCCTTTTCCTCACTGGGGGACTCTTTGTTAGCAGTAGAGCACCTTGAAGCTTGTTCAGGTAGGTCATCAGGTCTGACCTTTTTTGACAGGTCTTCTTGATTTCCAAACTCTTCATCACCTAGCTGAAGAAGATCTTTGACCTCCGTGACATTTAGTCTGATTTGGAGGTCCTTAAGAACATGAGGCTTTGAAGCCCCAGCTGACTTGAGCTTTCCTCTTGTGGTCTTTTCTTTCTCTGGGACAAGTCGCTCTTCAATAACTAAAGCATCAGTATTATTACCATTCGATTTACCCTGACATATTTTTTCATGTACATCTTTATCTTTACCCAGTTCCACACCTTCTTTGTCTTTTTCACTTTTATTTACATCAGATTTTACTGAAGAATCTTTGACCAAACTTGATAACTGTTGTGTAGTATCTGCTTCTGTAAAATTTCTCTCTTGAGCCTCATCGGTTGCATCAGCTTTGTCCCCTTTCTTTGAGCCTTGAGCTGAGGGCATTTGACCCTTTGTAATATGAGGGGATTTCCCTTTAAGTCTTTGAATTCCTTCTGTGCTTTCCGATTCATTTGAGTCCATGTCTTTGTCAATTTTTATTTTGTCCGCTTTTGAAGCTGAAACCTCTTCAACAGGTTTGCGGTTTTTAGGAGGACGACCACGTTGCTTTGTGGGAGTTGGAGCCGGTGCCTCCAGCTCAGTACTGTGCTGCGCAGCTTCTTTCTCTGCAGGCCGCTTTCGTACAGGGCGCAGTGACTCTGTTATTTCCTTACCACGAGTTGGTGTTGCTTCTTCAACTGGAGTGGCATAAATAGATTTTACATTTCTTCGTGTTCTTCCTCTTATTGGTAAGCTCTGCTTCAGTTGATCATGGTCAGATCCAGGAATCGGAGACTTGGCTGTGGACTTTGTTTCGGCTCTTGGGGACGAGCCGCGTTTCAGCTTATCTTTGTCAATGCGCTCACTCTTGCGTGTAGCTTGTTTCTCAGAAGCAGAGATTGGTGTTACAGGAACTTGGGCAGGAGATTGCTTGCCTTTCTTAGTTTTGAGCTCTTTAGTTTTTTCTCTTTGAAAGGAGACTGGCTCTTCAACTGTGTCACTGTCAGCAGAAACTTGCTCTTTACCAACTTCAAGTTTCCTATCTCCATCTGACTCTAATGCTGTTTGACATGTAGAATAAGGCTCTTCCTTGATTACACTTGCCTCTTCAGTAAGATGGGATTGGTTTGGACTACTGGATGTAGGCACTTCAGGTTGTGACGTCTCAGGACCTAGCTCTGGTTCTGATATGCTAACCAACTCTTCGTGAGAACCAGGACAGTGTGATTGTTCAGCAACTAGGGGCTTTGTCTCTTCAACAAATTCCTGCTTCTCCTCAGCAATTTTAGTTTCATCAAGAGTCTCGGATACAGGTTCAGGTTTTATTGTCTCAGTTGGTGGATGGAGCATCGGTATAATATCTTCCCTTTCTTTAACTTCCTCCTTTATCTCCTGTTTCACGGGTGGGCATACATCAGTAGCCGGACGAAGTAACTCGCACTTCTGATCTAAAGGAGGCGAGTCTTTGATCACAGGCTGAGAAACTAGATTAGGAGTGAGTCTTTGCTCAGGAATAACTTGTTCAACAGGACTGATGGGTTTGATTTCTGCCTCCACACTCGACTCTGGTGTGTCATTAGGCCGTGGAGCTTGTTGTTCCAGATCAGATGGTTTTTCCTCTTTATTTTCATTTGTTGATACTGTGTTTCCTTTATCCTCTTGCAGCTGTTGGCTCTTGTTTTTTTGTTGTTGTAGTTGCGTGAGCTCCAAAAAACGACTGTGAAAAAGGACAACTGGGCCAGTCTCAAGTTCACCCTCTGCCCCTTGCTGACTAGCTTGTTGATTTAGCTCAAGTTCTTCATATTTGCGCTCAAGGTGTTGAAGTCGTCTAGAATCCAGCTCGAACACAGCACTATGAAGGAAACGTGAGGCAAATAGTTCTCTGCGTTCCTGTTCCTCTGGCTTGGGCTCTTCTTTCCTGTTATCCTGTTTGACCTCTGATCCACTTCGTTTTTTCTTTTTCATATACCAGGAAGGTGTAGATCTTGGAGCTGATTCTACTTTCTCTGTGTCTTTCTGATGTCGGAAATTTACAAAGTGGGAATCATAATCTAAAAATGACCAGTTATCCTCACGAGATGATGAGAGTGACTTTGCCCGTTCCAGAAGAGCCTTTGTATCAGGGGTGATGGTCTGGTCAAGTGCAAAGGAATAGAATTTGTTTCTTTCAAGATGTGCTAGCTTTGGGTCTGAAAACCTATCAGGTCTTGGCCTCTCGGGAAAAGGCATAGATGTGGAGGGGGCAGGAGAGAGGGGTTTGTTTTCTCTGTCCTCTTCAGAGTCTGATCTCACTTCCCCTGGCTCTAAATCATGCCAAAGGCCATAGTCTGAAGGTTTGCGGTTCTGAAGAGTTTTACTTAAGTTTCTAGAAAAGTTAACATTGGGTAATATTTCTTGTTTTACTCTGCTCTCCCACCTCTTTTGTGGGTCGTCTTCAACGATATTCATAGGGGTGTTTGTCTTGGTGACCTGTGTGTTTTGAGTCCTTTTCACCAGTAGCTCAAGTTCTGGGTGAATCTTCTGATTGTTTCGACTCAACTCTTTTAAAGAAGCATCCATGAATTCTTCATCTACATGAGTGAAGACCTGGTGTCCTGGAGAGGGTGTACCACTCCAGTCAGGATCTTCACTTTTTTGTCTTCTATAGACACGCTCTCTCTTTATCCCTGGTTCTGCTTCAAACTGTTCAGAGAGTTTGTGAGATGGAAAGTTATCTGTGACATCCTCGGGTGGTTTACCAACTTCATGCACAAGACTACGATGTTCTAAGTCCTCTGCTTCATTTCTCTGAAGATTTTCTGCTTTTTTAAGTTTGTCAGAATCACGCTGTTGTTGCTGCTGCAGGTGTAGACGTCTGTTTTGCTCCATCTGCTTACGATAACTCTGAGAGAGGTCAATGTCAACATGGTCCTCCTTGTTCTTGGTGTTTTTATTTTCAGGATTTTGATTAAGTTTGAATAAGGCATTTTGTTCTTGCTCTCTAATACCGCCTTGATCTGAATTCCCTTCTAATGAGACCCTTCTGGAAGAAGTGCTTCCTTGTCGTTTTGACTCCAGCAGCTCTATAGATCCTTCAGGTATATCTCTTTGTCCTCTGAGATCCTCCAGTCCATCCTTTTGAGTGACACTTTTTTCTGTTTTAAGTCGTGCATCTCGTCGCTGAGAATCTTTATGTTTTTCAGTATCTGGTTCTTTTATATAGGAGTTATTCGATCCAAAGTCTGATGACTGACTGCCATCCTCCTCTTCCAGCCTGCTTCTTTTCTGTCGAGCAGTCTTGCCACCTAAATCTCCAAATCGCCTTTTTCTTGCAGCAAGGCGATCTGTGTCAACTACTAATTCTTTTCCATCATTTCCAACATCAGTCTTAGGATTTTTTTTGAGTCTGGTTTTCCCATCCACCTCTGCTATATCTGATTTGTTCATTTCACTTTTAACAGACTCTTGAAGAGCAGTTAACTGACTTCCAGACAGATTGTCTCCTTCCAACTTACATTTCTGTTTCTCATGAACATCTTGATCTGATCCTCTTCCTCGTCCAGATCCTCCATCTAAACCAGCATCCGTCTCTGTTTCTGGTATTGGGTTTGCTGGGGACTGAGGCTTTGGTTTCCTTGATTTACCTCTTTCAGCCTTTTCTTTGTCAGTTTTATCCTTTCTTTTAGGCCGCTTCGGTTTCTCCACCCCTGTCACTCGATCAGGCTGAGAGCTCTTTTCACCCTTTGCTGCATGATCAAGTATGTTCTTTTCAGATTTGTCAAAATGTGAAGGCGACATGGAGCTCACACTGCCACTCCTCTCAGATGACTGGCTGTAAACACGTCGCTCTGAGTCTCTGGTAGCCCGTTCTGATGAAGAGGGGGATATTGTGGGAGTAATAGCTCGCCTTGGATGAGATGGGCTCCACCTGCTACGATCAGCCTCGAAACGCTCCCCGCTCTCTTTCTCGCTCTCTTTGAATATAGGTGTATTTTCTGATGTCTTGCTCGAAAGGGTCTCTATAGTCCCTGTAGTCTCTTGGGTCTTCATGATAGCGTGGATCAAAGTGTTCCCCCTGATAATGTTCCAGTCCGGGAAAGCGCTCTCTGCTGCGCGCAGCATATTCTCTACGAGCATCTTCTGGATAAAGGTCAGTGGTTCTTAAGTTCTCGTAGTAAGCTCTCTCTGCCGTAAACTCGTGATAAGGAGGTCTGCGATCCTCTCTGTAATTTAAATAGAAATTTGAATTGCTTTAGAAATGTAAAAAATACTTGCATGTACTTTTTTAATAAATGTGGTACCAATATGACTAATTCAGTCTTATGCAAAGGAAGAGAATAGAGTAAATTTACCGTCGTTCCGGTGGAACTTCATAGAAGTCTCTAATGTCTTGACCAGAGGCCTGCATTGAGCGGTAAAATGCATTCTGGCTTTCTTGACTTGCAAAGTCCACCTATCAGTGATCAACAATAAAAAAAATTAAGTACAGAGACACCAAGTAGCTTTGTGTCAAAGGCAATGCCGATAAATTTTTTAAAAATAAATTTACCTTAATTTTATTGCCACCAATCTTCCAGCCTTTGGTCTCCCTCACAGCTTGCTGAGCAAAATCTGTGTTGTTGTACAAGATAAGGGCCATCCCCTTTAGCCGATCAAATACGACCTATAAAATGTAAAAATACAAAGTAACAATAAGGTGAACTAAAATCAAGACCAAAAAAACAAAAACAAATTATAAACCGCTGTAAATAAAAAGTACAAAAAAAAAAACACTTACTTTAACTACATGCCCATAGCGCATAAAATGTCTTGTAAGGTACTGCTCTGTAATGTTAGGAGCCAAACCATCAAGCCAAACACATGTAGTAGGAATACTCTTCCCAAAACCGAGCTAAAGAGAAAAGTAGAGAAAAAAATTATATTGAGAAATGTATTGTATAAATTATATAATTGTATAAATTGTTGTACATCTAAATATTTAACTCAGAAAAATTGTCATATTCTTGTCTGGGTTTAAAATCTTTACCTTAAGCCTGTTGCTCCCCAGATATTCTGCATCCATTTTCTTGATGGCCTTGCAAACGCTCCCAATATCAGAATACTGGACGAAGGCATACTGAGGAATTCCATTCACTTTCTTGATGTCGATGTCCTTGGGAAGACAAGACGCAAATCAAACAAATGCTCACTATACAGTTGAAAATGTTAGCTTGAAAGTAAATAACTGGGTTAGAACTTACAACAATTTCTCCGAAGCGCTGAAAAATGTCAAGGAGCTGCTGATAAGTGGTGGTCTTTTCAAGGTTTCCTATAAACAGTGTCCTCGTAGCCTTGGGGTGGAACTCGTCTAGACGTCCATCTAGAGGCCTGTAGTCATTTTCGTTCTCAGTTTCTGGGGAGGTAAAAAAATGTAAATAATACTTCAATCAAATTGAAGGAGATACTTTACCTCCTCATCAAGTTTTGGAAAATTCAGTGCTGTTAAATAGTTCCATCTGTCACCACTTACCAGGACCGTTCCAGGCTGTGACCTCAATAAGCATTCCAAAGAAGAGTTTTCCTTTGGAGACACTGAGGGCTTTCTCCTGATCCTCTTGTTGTCTGAAGAACACTAGACCATAACGATCTTCTGACGCCCCATGAATCTGCACCGAATTCACTTTCCCATATTTCTTGAATTCATGAAAGAGTCCATCTTTTAAACTTGTATCTGTAGAAATAAATAGTAATTTTAAGTATCTAATTCAAATAAATCTGTAAAAGAACTAACAAGATTTTTCAAAATATGGAGCTAAGCTACAGCCGAGTTTGTTCGTTTTTACACATTATTTTAGGTCTTTTAGCATGAATGTGAGACAACCGGCTTTTTAAACACATTCTCTGACACGTTCTACATTGTCAGTAGCATTTAATGTCTGTTCTATTAATCAATATGTGCTCTTCATTAATCAGTGATGATCAGGTATTTTTATAGGCTGACATGAGCATTCTGATACAGCATCATTTGTAATTGTTTAGGGGCTGAAGATGGATGGCTCCTAAAATATGCTTTAAGGGTAACATAAACATGAACTATAGATGAGTTAAAACTGAGAGACAAATAAATAAAATGCTTGGAAAGAGTCATTGGGAAATGTGGAGAACCCAACTAAATTGGAACTCCACCCAGGTTTAGGTTTCCCCATTAACTACTTCATATCTGAGCCAGACTTTTACTGTTGCTATCTGATCTGGTCCTGGTTCCAGCAATGGAAACCATGGGTTAAAAGAATGACACAGAAAAAGTTTCCTGGATAGAGAAAAGAATTTGCATCCAAACTCTACAAACAAATCTAACCTGTGGAGCGCACTGGTAAGTTTTGCACTTTAATTCCAAAACTCCTCCGTGGCTCTTCAGAATCCATCACCATACATGTCTGAGAAGCGTGTGCAGCCGAAGACTGGACAGAACGGGCTTGTGAACCATCGCTAGAGCTGCTGTTTGAATCACTGAAAAGAGAGTGGGGAAAAAAGAAAAAGAAAAATTAGTCTTTGATTTAAATGTATATGGCTAAAATATAGAACTTAAGATACATACCTGCCACTGCCTGTACTGCTGGTGCTGCTGACAGAGTCCGAGCTCGATGATCTGCTGTGAGATCTCGATCTTGGGCCTCTTCCAGGGGACAAAGGCGTTCTTTTAGGAGAATGGGGAGTTTTTGGGGTTTGCCCTGCAGCCCGTTGAGGAGATGGGTGCCTTGACTGGGAGGAATGAGATGATCTGCTTCGACGGTGGTGATAAGCTCGATCAACACGTCGCCCTCTATCATCTCTGTAGAGGTCACGTCTTGTTGAACTGGTAAGGGTAAATGGATCTCGTATTCTAGACTCAAAATGTGGGTCTGCTGCTTCAAAACTCCCTCCGATGGCACTACTGCCCGGGCCAGCAGCTGCAAACACGGCACGATCACGGTAATATTCAGCGTTGTAGTGACGTCTGTCAAATGTCCCACTGCGCTCATGGTGGCCATATGGGCTGTGATCGTATGCACGTTCACGGCTTTCTGAGCTACTGTGAATTAAGAACAAAGTGGAGAAATTTACAAAGAAAAAAAATTAGTAAATTCTTAAATTAAAAATATCCCATTGAAAACAACCAGTACAACACAGATGCCATAAGCATTTCAAAAAATGCCCAGTTAAAAAACAAACAAACAAACAAACAAAAAAAAACCCACTAAGATATGCCAAAACTATAAGGTCTCACTACCTGTCATTTCAGATTCAACTTGAGATCTAGGGCAGCATATTGAAAATCTAATATATACACACACAATGCCTTGCAAAAGCCTCCATAACTGAACTTTTCCACATTCCATCAGGTTGGACAAGTTTCAATCCATTTTTGTGGTATTCTAAAATACTAACACAAGGCAGCACCTTTGTGATGTAGATAGAAAATTACAAATCTTTTTTAACTTAAATGATAGAAATCTGAAGGGTGTGACTTGAATTTTTAGCAGCCCCTTGAAAAATATCCAGAGCACCTAATTGCTTGAATAAGTCAACTAAACTAGTACAGCTGTGTTTAATCACTTCTTGGTATAAAATACAGGTAATCTAGTAAGGCTTGCAGGAGACACAGTAATGTGGAAGATGGAGGTCTTGTTGGAGGAAATGAAATTAAAACAATGTGCATCATACTTTTCAGATTTTGATTTGCAAAAATATTTTTTGCAAACCCATGTATCATAACACTAAATCCAAGAATAAAACAATATTGATCTTCAAATTGTACAGAAAATTGAAAAAATACCAAAGGGTAGGAATACTTTAGCAAGGCATTGTGTTTCTAGCCACATATTTGTAATATGCCTCAATTGTGATGCAACTGTGACCAAGACATACATTCTTACAATTTAAGCTGAGATACTTTGTCACAATAAGATCTGTTGAATCTAAGCAGAATATATTTTACATGCCAAGCATGCCGGTTAGATAACATGGCCTAATATGTAAATGACACTTAATACTACTTTTGCAACCTGGTGAAAGAAAACATATGCTGGAAAATGATTTACCATCTGCATTGAATTAAACAACTGTCTTTCAGCAGAAACCTTAACAAAGCACTAGGGAAGCAGAAAGATTTTTTTTAAAATATGGCCAGAAAAATACCAACCTTTTGGAAAAGAAGTTACCAAAATTAATCCCAATAAAATCTAGGTGGTCAGAATATGAATGCCCCAATGAAACATTGGAGAAAAAAAAGAGAAGAAAAAAAAAAACGACAAAAAAGTGATCCAATTAAGGGGTAAAAAGGTTTCTTCTGGATCATACTTTCAAGTCATCTTCAAGGACCAGGTCAGGATTCTTGTATATTCCACTGTTTAGTTTTTAGTTAAGTATCTCCATAGGATGAGGGCAAAAAAAAAAAAAAAAAAGGCAAAATAATTTTAGAAGTATGCTCCTTGACGAATTTTAGGAAATGGAGTGGTAAAAAAAAAAAATTGATAACATGGTTAAAAAAAAAAAAAGACGAATGATTATTTGCATATCCAGGTTAACTGGTTACTTTTTTTTTAAGGCAGCATAATATATATATCCAAATTGATCGTCTTGGTGAGAAGGGTAGCACAAGGAATGAATATGTCCCAAAACTTAAGCATTAAGAAGAAATAAACTAATCAGATTACTGAGGGGGAGAAAAAAAATAATACATCCCAGTGGATTACATCCCATAACTTAGCTGATAGAAGAATCAGAAACGTCACAGAATAAATCCTTAACGAATCTTGGTATAGCATAGTTCCAAAGTCCAATGATCCCATATGGTGTGCTTCATGAAACATGAAAATTGTCTTGTTAGCAATGTATGAAGTTTGTTTTTGGTTGCATTTTTTATTTTTTTAAAGAGTTATTCTCCGCTTTCTATCCTTGGATTGTTCTTGAGGGCACACATACAGATATAGTATATCCACACTTCAGTACTCCGAATAAATAGCATAATACACCTAGCCACCGTAGGATCCACATCACTATGTCCAGCATGATGAGCTGCATCCAGTACGTCCGGAAACTTTCCGCCTCACAAAGTTTTCTTCACGCTTCCTAAGATGAAGTATTACTCCATAAACTTGGAAGTCGGTTGTTTGGATCCAGAGCGTTCTCTTGCTGCCCCCTGAGTATAATTCCATTTTTAGAGAATGGAATCAGTAACAAAGTTAGGTTTTTGCTCATACGCAACTTGGGACATACACACTTATTTATGCTCCCTTGGGTTGTGTAATTTCTAAGATCTTCCATCCAGTTGCTTAAAACCTAATATCCGAAAGGTATATCCACACACTGGGGGAGGAAAAAAAAAGTAGTCCAACAATCAAGCCTTGGGTTAGACTGACAGGCCGATGGCAGAACACCAATATACCTCAATAAATCCTTCAGGCAAAAAAGTAAATCCTTTATATTTGGGCTTCTTCTCCAGCTTCAGGATAATCCATGTTAACTTCAGGGTTAAATTCCATGTTGATTAATATATATCCGAAAGCTCCCCAAGGTAGTATCCCACATAATAAATCCACAGCTCACCAGGATATTCCTCATGGATGTAAAATCCAAACCAGATGTAAAAACCTTGTAACATAGTTACCTTTGCAAATGATAAAGTGAATTAATTTCTTTTAAATCCCATGGGGTAGGCGACTCAGGTGTGATGAAGAGTGGAGTGATCCCTAGATTACCTTTTTGTGACCCCTTCAGGTACCACACCCTGATGATTAACGCCACTATGTGTACAAGTTAGAAACTTAAATGACACCTAGACCACTCTGGATTTTTATAGGGACACTGTGTCCACTTACCCATCTATTCTCCGTTCATAACGTCCCTCTCGGGTGTGTAGGGACACAGGTGGGCCAAACACTGGGCCAACTGTTCCCCTAGAGAATCCTGCAACCTCTCGACTGCTGGAGGGGGAGCTGTCTTCGAGGCCCCGCACAGCACTAGGGACTGACCCTGGCTCATTGTAGTCAGTCCGAAGGTCCCTGTCTCCCATCTTATTGACAGCATTGTGAGCCTTCTGTGCACTTTTGATATCCACAAAATCCACAAAGGCTGCAACACCGCCCTCTGACCCTCGCTTTCGCAGAACCTTGACGCTCTCCACTCGGCCATACCTGACAGGAAATTACAGAAATAAACACAAAAAGGGAGTTACAATCAAAGCATCCAATATTGTTGTTTTTTTTTGCATGTTAAATTTATGCAGAGAATGTAATATAATAGCGCCAACTAAGAGAAACCAGCTGAGGAAAGATGTTTATTTGATTGAGGTTTTTGGTTAAAATAAACACAAATCAGCCAGGATTGTTTTTGTTGGGTGCACTATGTTAATAAAAACAAAAACGAAATAGCAATCATTCTGTTTAACAATATCTCAGATTGATGGGTTCGTTTGCTTTAGATTAGGTTAGAATGCACTCTTCCTTGAGATAGAAACAACAATCGATAATAGCTCAGTAAAGCAGTAGGCACATGCTTATCTAAACATTAAGAACGACAGCTATTGAAAAAAAATGTTTTATCATAAGTAAAGTTAAACCTACCACAGCTAATTTCAAATATTTTCAGTAACTGACTTGAACGCTCTGCAGCTCAACAACTTGCTAACATTGGTCCCGAGCCCCCCCCCCAAAAAAGCTCATAAAATGCTTTAAGAGTAGCTCTTTTAAAAAAGTTAACCTGTTACAGTTAGGAGTAGCAAAATTTTAAAAAAGGCTAATTTGGGAGATTAAAAAACAACAACATAAGACTAACACATCATCGCGGTGGACGCTGGCTTGAACAGATCACGAAAACCTTTCGACTTCCCACAAAATGGTTGGCTGGGTGCTAGCTAAGTGGCTAGCAGCTAACTACCTTCTCGCGTTAGCAAAAGTTACCAAAACACTCTACAATATTAAAATGTATGTGTAGGCGCGGTCGTTTAGTTATGTTAACGTAGATAAAAGGCCAATATGTAGCAATAGATCACACTTACTAGAGAGGAAACCTAACGAGGAGCAAAAGTTAACAATGCTAACGTTAGCTATGTTAGCAGGGCTAGCAGCGCAGCCCTCGCATCGAGAAAAGGTTAGTACTGCAGCCAGCGCGCGTAGCCTCGCAAACACGCTCTCTCTTGCATAACATACCTTTTAAAATGTTCCACGATTTTCTCCTCACGAACATGTTCGGGTAAATTTCCCACCCAAAGGTGTCTGGTTTCCCGAACCATCTTGCGATCTTCGTTCCTCCTTCAAACACATATGATCTAGCACGTTTCTAATCCCCTGCCGGTCGGAGGTCCGTCTGAACAAAATGACCGACGGTGGATTCCGTGATCGACGTGGGCCCGAGAGCCTGCTCCCCGTGTAGCTTTAGCTGTTTGCTGGCTTCTGCTGCTGATGCGTCCTCGGTCAGCGCGCGTGCGTGCTTCTCAGCCTAGCTCAGGGTAGTTTCGGGTGTGCGAGCCGCGTGCGCCGGGTGGTGTTCACGCGCGAACATCGAGAACGCGGTTTCATGACGAAAACAAATCAACAGCCCGGAAGTAATATTTTCATGTGCAGGTTCAATCTAAAATGTAGTTTTGAACTGCTTTATCTGCACTACTAAGGACAACACACTATTATTAAACCTATCCAAATTAGATTTTTTTTAGATTAAGAGAAACAATTTTAATTCATAAAATCATGTCTTTGAATCATGTATTTTAATTTCATGGCTTATCATCAATGGTAATTCCATGACACCGCAGAGTGGAAACTTGTTTTTATTTTGAGACATGTGCGTCTGTGATTGTAGAACAAATAAATTGTAATTTTATTAAAGTAAACTTTGGTTTGAACTTTGAATATATATTTTAACACCCAAAACTTTATTTGAGAAAGTGCTTTAACTAATTATTATTTATCAATCTGTTGAATAGCCTATATTTCTGATTAATAGTATGACAGCTGAAGGTGCCAATTGGGATTTTATTTTATTTTTTACTCAAAACCGAGGGATAAAGATAAAACTGCCCCTTGAGGAGTTCTGGAAATAGTTATAGTAAAGTTATAGTTTTTCATCTCCACTTCAAAATCACTTCGCTTGCAATTTTACAGTCCCAGCCAAATTACTACACATGAGTTGAATAGGTTTTAGCACATGTGGTCTAAATCCCACTTGATTCAAATGGCTAAACCACTTCACTAGCATACAGTTAAGGCCTCGATCTGAATACCTGAAACCAGTAAGGAACCTTGAGCCAAGGCGGTGGTTCATCGATGTCTATCATAACAAATGCTATCGGAACAAAGCTGCCTGTTAGGAAGGAGCTAGAAGCAGGAAGCTGTATGCTATTCAGTTGGCATAAGGACCTCCCGGCCCTTTACTAGGGCCTATCCATTATCTAGAGGCGAAGCACGTGTCTTGTTCTCACTGCTGTAGTAATATTAGCCCTGTTTCAAGTGCATGTTGGACTTCAGTAGAGCGCCTGTCATTGGTCTTGTTCATAACTTTCATTTACATGATTTCTCGGCCTAGCGATGGCTGAAAGGGATCTATCTGGTAATGGGAACAGAGGATTTTCTCTGCTTTTTACTGATGATGTGCCTCTGTTGGCTCCCTCTGGCAAATAACTCTAGTATAGGTTTGCAGCAAAGTGCAAAGCAGTGGGGATGAAGATAATCTCCTCCTAGTCTAAGGCCATGGTCCTCTTCTGGAGAGGCTTGGAGTGTAGTCCTTGCCTAAGGTGGGAGTTAAAACATCTCAGACTCATGTTTATTATGAGTGAGGGAAGAATGGAGTGGGAGAATGACAGATGGATTGGTGCTACTGCCGCCGTAATGCAGACCCTGTGCAGTCGATTGTGGTAAAGAAGTAGCTTAATTCAAGATGAAATTCTCAATTTAATGGGGAGTCTACACCACTGTGATCACCAGTGGTTATGAAATTTAGGTCATGGTGAAAAGAATGGGATCCTGAATACAAGCAGCTGAAATGAGCTTCCTTATCAAGCAGCTGCGAACTCTCAGCCAGCCTGGGAAAGCTCCGGGTTTCCAAAGCAGAGCTGGAGGAGGGGTCTGAGGAGAGGGGAGTCTTGGAATCCCTGCTGAGACTCCTGTCCCTGTGACACCGTCCTGGATATGCAGTAGGCCTTAAAAAGGGGTAAAAGGAATTTTAAATAATTCTTTTATTCTAAATATTAAGAATTTTTATAAGAACTTTTTTTTTTCTCACAGCAACTTTTTTGGCTGATTTAAATGATAGATTATAAAGAAAACATTATTAATCCCCAGCCCTTAGCACAATAAGCTAAAACCTAAAATATAAAATTGGTTCTATATATTTTTTACCTCTTTACATCTCCTGTTTTGTTAATATTAACAGTTTTTTTCTGTTAAGTTGTTGCATAAGTAGAAAATATTAGGGAAAAATGTACAGTATTGCAAATATCCTACAAGGCTTTTTAGAAGGCAACTAAATAAAGTACAATCAGATAAAAGAAGAAAGTCTCATGCATGTCTGTTGCTTGTTTCATTGTCCTTCTTTAATTTGATATAGCACATGCATGAAATTATATTTCTTGTGCTTGATACACTCTTTGTACCTTCCAAGAAGAACAGCGTCTATTTTGAGGGACACATTGTTCAAATTAAAGGAGACAGATGGACTGGTCAGAGTCAGACAGGAAACCTGAGACTTCAAATGACAACACAAGAGACCACAGCTCAGGAGTGATGGTAAATCCACAAGACGGTGCTCACTTTGTTCCCTGCAACATTTGCTCTAAGAACATTTTACAATAAAAGTATGAATAAAGTTGTAAGACAAATGTCTGAAAATACTGAACACATACATCCTTCCAGAATTTGAACTTTCTTCATCTATGATATATAGTGTTGCCCATTTTTCTACTATTCAGTTGTACAGGAAATCCAATACATTTTCAGTGTTCTTTCTTTTGTTTACCTAGGTTTTTTTTTTATACATGTGATATATTTTAAACAGCATTTCAAGGTAGGGACGTTGGAGCTGTATCACTATATTCACTTAAAGGTACAGTGGAGGATGTTCTTTTTCCAGGTGGATCATAAAAAATAAGCGGTCCTCCTAATTGTCACTCATTCTGTTGATATGTTTATGTAATGTTTTTGCTCGTCCCTATTTTCACTTACCCATGGTGAGTCTGAGATAGTGGGAAAAGGGTAAATTTTCTGGAAAGTAAGCTTGTACGATCGATGCAAACAGCAACTTTCTAAAAGAGTGTGCACAAGGACAAATGGGCTTGTGCATTCTCTTGCACACATTTAATAGGCATTGCCTCTCGGGAGCGGGTACAGGGACCAGTGGAGAGGGCCGGTCTTATTAAAAATTCTCAAAAATCCTCGACTATACCATTAAGAATGCAAAATTTAATAAATGATTATCCTGTACTTGGATAAAATATGGATTAAAAAGACAAATAAGAAGAACAGAAATGAACATGCAAAGATACATTTGTGAAATTCCGTAAAATTCCAAAAACTTAGTCATCATTATAGTAACAGATAAAAACAGAAAAAACTATTTTTTCTTAGAAAAAGATTTTATTGTTTCCTTTTTCTTTATATATTTTAACAGACCAGTCATTCGAGAAGCTATTGTGTGATATGTGCTTTAAAGATGAAACTGAAGAAGAAGCAGAGACATTTTTTTTTAATAATTTGACACATCGGGGGGGATACTATCACAGAAAAAATGCTGGATTTAATGTTTAGCAGCTTGCCTCTAATTTCTACTCTGATTTGTCTCCACCAGTTATTGGATTATGACTTAATATAAGTACATACTGTGTGCAACATCTTGATTGCATGTGTTTTTTAATTTGATTTATGAGGCCTTATGTAATTTTTTACTTCAGTTTTTCTATAAATGAGTACAATATTTTGTTATTTTCGTACAAAGCTGAGTGAAAGCATGATGAACCATATTCTACTAGTTTGTTACAAATAGTTTTTGCAAAGCCAGTTGCATAAATATGTTCGATGCATTTCTATCTCTAGTACAGAGTGTAAAATTATTAAGTATAATAGAAAAGTAGAATTCTCTTTTCCAGAAAGCCAGATATATTGAAAAGTAATTAAATGCTCCTTTGATATAAATCATTATGATGCATAAACTCCTGAAAAGGCACATGTCTCTCATTTGTCTGAATATGGAGTGTTTATTGCTTTCCGATAGTTTGACTTATATTACTGCTGCACGGACACCAGGTTCACGTGGCAGGCTTTGCACAACAATTTCCCCTCCAATGGATGGCAGCCGTGCTCGTTTGGTTCAGGGGAGAGCTGGATGCCGCAGACCTGCAGACAAGATGAAAGTAATGTCGACCGCAGGATAATGTGCTTGTGTGTGTTTAAACATTTGCCAGTAAATCCTTATAGGAAACTGTTTGCAGAACACCCACCTCACATCTGTAGCAGTTCTCATGGTAGGAGTGCCCCAGACACTCAACAGTGTAGCTATCAGTACCATCTTCCTTAGGAATGATGAGTTGGTCACAGGCACTACACTTTGGAGCATATTTCCTGTATATAAATGATTTTCAAGAAGAAAATATATGTGATGTGTTTAGAAAAGGATTTTAAATATTTTCAAGTGTTTACATAAATTTAAATGGCTGTTTAAAATGCACACACAAAATAGAGAATGATTGGGATGTTATTTAAAACAAACTCTGAATGGATTGCATTCATGTGTGTTCACAGCCCCTTAATTGGAAACAAGGAAAGTTAGTCTGACCGTATATTATAGCTTTCAAGTTCTCACACCCCTGAGCCAATACTTTGAAAAAACACCTTGGCGGTCCCTTTGGGTTTTCCTCTTCCAGCTTTTAACATGTAAAAACTAAAACTGATATCTATAGCTCCAGCTCAGTCTGATTGGATGGAGAAAGTTTTTGGATGTCAATTTTGAGTTCATAACACAGCAAACCCAGCTTGCATTCTACTTATTCGGACTTCCGGTTTAAGTAAATTTGCCTGGTCTTTGCAGGTTTGCTGTTACACTTTACTTACTCAATTTATAACTGGTCAAGCAGATTACTGTTAAATGTTTAAATCTAGATATATAGTTTTGAACTTTCTGGGGAGTTACTTGGTTTTTAAACTGCTGTTTTTATATTATCCACTACTTTGTCTTAATCTATATACCATACAATACAATTCACATTTTTTATGAAGCACATTTAAAACAGTATTCACCAAAGTTTTGTATGCTGATGAAAACTGAAAGAAAATGCAAAAAAATAACCCTTTACAGCTCTAGCTAGGAAAAATACAAGAAAAATATCAAAACTAAATAGATAAAAAGATGGATTAAAAAAGTCTCAAACTTGGTTAAAAGCCGAGAAGAAAAGAAATACTTTTATAAAACGGCAAGTTAGGCAACCTTGTCTGATCTCTCAATTTCCTCTTTGGTTTTAAGGACAATTGTGTGTATGTGTGTGTGTAAAAAATGAGAAGTATTTAAAGAGAGTTAATACTTTGCAATAGACTGGAATAAAAAAAAAAGCAACAGCAACTAAACAGAGCAGAGTGTATACTGCATTTTCGTTGCTGTTTCTACTTGCCATCATTGTTTATACCTGTAGTAGTCCTGCAGGCAGTACACTTCACCGACCTCCCCCTGAGCAAAGGCCTGTGCTCCTATTTGCTGCTTACATGTTGTGCAGGTAAAGCAGGATGGATGGTACGTTCTCTCTATTGCACGGATTATCTGATCTGTAATAACTTCCCCGCACGACCAACAGAGCTCCAAACTGGCCTAAAACACAGAGAAAGATGCAATACTGACTTATTTCAAAGGCCCAAAAACGTACTCACACTTTACCGGTATAAAAATAAACTTATTCAGTTGTTATACCTTAAAAGACTGTTGAACCAAATAGCAACATTGAAATGAATGACATACAAAGTATTCAAATTAAAAGGAAGAGTTTAAATTTGTATTAACCTTACATTTTTCTAATTCTAATCTGCAGGGTGTGAATGAATTGTTGGACCTTAAAAACATCTAGAGGACAGACAGAGCTGTTTCTTCAGGAAATTAAAACAAATCCAGCAAATACTCAATACAGGACTTAAGAGATGCATCATCCCTCAGTAGATGTCTCTTATAAAGCAAGTTTTCATCTAAACTTCATGGGTATTGATATGCTGGCAAAAATAAGGTCTTTTAAATTATAATATATTTCGTAATGCTCATAGATTGAGTGCAAATTTTTGTTTTTTCTTAAATACATAAGATTTAAACACAGTAATATATAGTCGACTCCCCCCAAACATTCTTAGTAACGTAAAGCATATCTGTCAGAATTACCCTCTTTACAGTGCCTTGTGAAAGTATTAGGCCCCCTTGAACTTTTCAACTTTTTATCACATTTCAGAATTCAAAAATAAAGACATTAAATTGTAATTCTTTGTGAAGAATCAACAACAAGTGGGGCACAATCATGAATTGGGATGAAATGTATTGGATATTTTCAACTTTAACAAATAAAAAACTGAAAAATTTGGTTTGCAAAACTATTCAGCCCCCTTGAGGTAATACTTAATCGCACCACCTTTTGCTGCAATTACAGCTTCAAGTCGCTTCGGGTATGTCTCTATCAGTTTTGCTCATCAAGAGAAATGTTGCCCATCCTTTTTTTCCAAAACAGCTGTCGCTCAGTCAAGTTGGATGGAGAGCAAAAAGCAGTTTTCTGTACTTTCCACAGATTCTCGATTAATTTCAGTTCTGGACTTTGACTTGGCTATTCTAACAACTGGATATGTTTTTTTGTGAACCATCCATTGTAGATTTTACTTTATGTTTTGTATCATTGTCTTGTTGAAAGATAAATCTCCGTCCCAGTCTCAGGTCATTTAAAGACACCAAAAAGGTTTTCTTCCAGATTGCTCCTTTGGCCTCTTTAATCTTCCCATCAATTTTAAGCACCTTCCCATCCCTGCTGATTAAGAGCAGCCCAGACCATGATCCTTCCACCACCATGTTTGACAGTAGGGATGAAGTGTTCAGGGTGAGGAACTGTGTTGCTTTTTGCCAAACATAACATTTTTCTTTGTTGCCAAAAAGTTAGACTTTGGTTTCATCTGACCAGAGCACCTTTTTCCACATGTTTGCTGTGTCTCTAACGTGCCTTGGTCAAAACTTTAAACAAGATGTTATATGGATAGAAAATTCTTTCTTCCATAAAGACCAGATTTGTGCAGTATATGACTGCTTGTCCTAAGTAGGAGTCTTCCACCTCAGCTGTATATCTTTGCAGTTCACCCCGAGTGATCTTGGATATCTTGATTGTATCTCTGATCAGTCTTCTCATGGTTTGACCTGAAAGTTTAGAGGGACAGCCGGGTCTTCCTAGATTTACAGCGGCCTGATACTCCTTCCATTTCAATATTATCGCTTGCACAGTGCTCCTTGGGAGGCTTAAAGCTTTGGAAATCCTTTTGTATTCAAACCTGGCTTTAAACTTCTCCACAACAGCATCTCAGACCTACCTGGTGTGTCATTAAGGTCAACATTGGATCATTCAGAGATCCTCACTGAACTTCTATAGAGATATTGCTGCACTGAAAGTAAAGGGGCAGATTCATCTGGCACGCCCCACTCTTCATTTATTTTATTTGTTAAAAAAGTTTAAAGTATCCAGTTAATTTCATTCCATTTCATATTTGTGTCCCATTTGTTGTTCATTATTCACATTTCTTTTTAAATATCTTTATGTTTGAAGCCTGAAATGTGGCAAAAATTTGAAACATTCAAGCACAGCACTGTAGGACAATGTAGATATCTATTATATCTATATGGTATATGGAATATGGAAATCAATAACAGATTAGTATTCCATGTAGTTCAGTCAACTTTTAATTAATTTAAAGTGAAACTAAACTGTGGAACAACATCAGCTCTGCTTTCAAAGAAGTCCTGTAAAACTGAATTTTATGCACCTAAAGCCTCTCTGTGCAGAGTATGCATGCTCCTCCTCCTCTCTGTGCTCTGGCTTCATACACATTAAGTTTAAACAACTCTAGGTTGAAGTAAGGTGAGTGTACATGCATTATGTATGTCTGTGTGTTGCTAATTGAAAGTGGTCCTTCACACGTCCCCATTTGCAAGTAAAAAAAACAATGATCCCTCCCCATAAATAATTATTTGTAGATGATGGGCTAATTAATTTCTGTACATGCAGGTACAGAAAATGTAAGATTAGCTACCTGATAGCAGTCTTCACAAAGTGGGATGCCTGCCTTGTTGTAGTAATGTTTCCCAGCCAGGGGAATGTGGCAGGATCTACACTGGAAGCAGCCCTCATGATAAATCCTGTTCAGGGCTTCTATAGCAGGTTCAGAAAGAGCCATGGGTTTCCGACAGAAGCCACACAAATCTGCTGTAAAAACAAATAGTAACATTATAGTCAGCTGATAATGCGTGTTGAACTGAAAGATTAAAAAGAAAATCTTTCTACCTTTGCTCTCTGTGGTCATGTCATGACTGTTTTTGTGAATAGCAATAGCCTCGTCATCACCATTTGAGCCTCTGGACGGTGAGGAGGCAGCATGCACCTAAAAATTCAATAAATTATGGAGAATTTAATGTTTCAGACAGACATGATTGTAAGAAATTAAGATTGATAGAAATGTATTTATCAGAAAGCATAATGTGACCTTTAAGCTATCTGGTTCTTATTTCTGCATTTAGCGTTTAGGTTTTACCGTAGCATCATCCATATCTATTGACTAGATCTAGTTCAGTGTGGAAATGTTAAACCATTCTGCTCTGAACAAAATAATGAAAAAGTCAAATTAAGACTATTCTTAATCTCTTCTATTATGTATGAAAAAATATGCTTATGTCAAAATCAAATTTTAAGAAATTACCGGTATTTGTCCTTTCTTTCAAAAATAAATGACTTGATTTTGATTCTTTAAAACTGTGGATAAACAGATTGTAGACCTGCAGGAAAACCCTGACAAAGAGTAAAATTGCAGGAAGAGTTTCAAAGTAAAACACACGACCAGTGAAAACAATGACTCTTCTGTTGAAAATCCTCCCCTCTTTCTCATAATTTGTTTAATTTTATTGAGTTTAGACAATAGTAGAACAAAGGATTTCCCACTGAACAGAAATAGACTGGGATATAGGTTGTATGTGAAAAACATTTACTTTTCTTCTCAGTTTGCTTATTCTATAACCCAGTGTCTGACTTAATTAAGTCTTTTTGAGGATTTAACCCCTTCCTTGAACAAGAGTAAATTATATGTGAAATTTGAGATGATTTGTACAGTACATGGGATGGGATGGGATACCTCTTTGTTGGAAAGTGACTGCTGGTGGGGACTCGGTGGATCAAGTGAAGATGTTAGGCATGGAGGAGGTGGAGGGAGTGCTGAGTCCTCAGAAAATGATGAAGGTAGCACATCAGGAGGAGGAGGGGGAGGGAAGAGCTCTGTTGGGGGAAAAAATAACTCTTAGATTTTCTGCATAGAAGAAGCAAAAAATATATATTGGGAGTTTTGAACTGTTGTGGATTTTTAAATATGTGTTTTTGTTGTTTATATTTTTGTCTTTGTCTGGAGAATGCAGTTATCTTTTATTTTTTTTTGGTAGAAATAAAACAAGACAATTATTATAATTCATCCTGAATTTTAAAGCTTGAATTTCACCTCTTGAAATTTCAAATTACATAAATAAATAAATAAATACACATTAAATAATTAGCAAACATGCTACCCTAATTAGCATTTTTGTGCACAACGGTGCAGATTTATTTAATTCTCCTCCTCAGAATTTACAAAAATAAGAAATGGAGAACAACAAAAAAAAGTGAATCAGGGTAGAATCCATTGAGGTTTCTAATATATTTGCATGTTGCTCCACTTCTGTCATCAAACTAAACCTTGCTGATTCTATATCGGTCTCATAGCTGAAACTAATTTCAAATCTGAAAGTATTTTCTTACCTTGAACTTTTTCACATTTTTCATGGTTTAAACAGAAAATAAGCTTAAAGAATACTTGATGTTGTAGACATAAAAAAAAGATAAATGAAATAAGAGAAAACTCCCTAAAGGAGTTTACTAATTAGGAAAAAGAGCCCCCCTTTGTGTAATTTAACCTTGTTATAAATACAGCTGATTTTTGAATGCCTCAAATGTTTGTTAAGGAACATTATGGATGACACAACATCATAAAGATAAAGGAGTCCATCAGAAAGGTCAGAGATAAGCTGTGGACATTTCTTTAAGCATTGGGTATTTCAAGGACATTTCAGTCCATCATTTGAAAAGAAAGACTATGGTATACCAAAAGGAATGAAAAAGGTTCATACACATCCTGAGAAAGTTGAGGACAAGAACGACAATGCAGATAACAGAAAAGGGCTGCTCACCTAAACTGACAGGTCAGTCAGTCAGAGTAATTGTTCCTAATTAGCTGCATAGATCCAAAAAATAGAGAAACCCCCCCCCCCTGAAAATGTATCTTTTTATAGAGAAGCAGAAAGATTGTTGGATTGTTAAAAGGAATCTGTTTACCATAAACAATGTAGGAAAGCTGGCAAAAAAACACGTGGAAGAAGCTGCTCTCGTCAGAATGTTTTGTCTATCATGTAAATTACTATGTATAGAAGGAAACACTAACACTACGTGTTGAACACGCCCACCTCAGCGTGAAATATATACACGGTGCAGCGTCATGCTGTGGGGAGAATTTTCTTTAACAAGGACAGAGAAGCTGGTCAGATGTGAATGAGAATGGAGTTAAAAACAGGGAAACTCTGGAGGAAATCTTTCAATACCAGAGATTGGGATTTACCACCCAGCAGGAAAACAGCCTTTAGCAGCCCCTCCTCACCTGTAGAAACTCTTTGAGTATTCATCAACAAACCAGCTCTAGTTAGGTACAAACACTGGGGTGATCCGGCCCTTCCAGTGGGTTGGGTTCTGTATCCCAACATTTGCACTGTTGAATACTTAAGCCTATTCAACAGGCTTAAAACGTATTTATCCATATTTGTTTTCTCATATATTTTGATTTTATGTACAGCTCTTTAATCACATCATATTTCTTAAAGGGTCATATAAAAAGGTATAGGTTGATTGATTGATCGATTTATTCATTAACGTACAGCCATAAACCCAGAGATACAATGGAACTGACTAGTCCACACTAATGCACAGACATGTATTAGTGTGGACTAGTCAAAGTTCTGACCTAAATCCAACAGAGGATCTGACTCCCAATGAGAAAACTGAACTTGAGCTGTTTTGCAACGAAGAATAGGTACAAAACATTAAAAGCTTGTGAAGACATACATTAGAAGTTTTACAAATATGCTGCCAAGTTGTTTTTTTTATTCAGGCGGGATAAATGTAATTGTGTCCCACACATTTCTAAATTTTATTTATGTAAAGTCTCTTGAAAATGATCTCCTTTCCTCTTACTATGTCACAATTAGTACTTAATTAGGTCTTAATACAGTATTGGCAAGATATGCTGGGGTTTGTAGGTGTAACATAGGTAATAATCAAAAATGTTCAGGGAGTTTGAATGGAAAAGAGAAAATTCCAACTTAGTGGTTTCTAACCAAACAAAGTATGTTTCAGCCTAATCATGTCTGACTTCCTGGCTTCAGAAATCTGAAGAATACTTCATCTTATTGTTTACAGCTCCCACTGCAGCCAATAATTAGTTTGGACCGAGCAAGAGAATCCCATATATTGCAGTTAATGCCTTTTAAATTCTAACATTTTTCTGTGGAGATTACCGGAAGAGGCGTGTATTAGAAATCTCAACATTTTAACCATGGGATACAATGAAGGCCCATAATGAAAGCATTTTGAAGAAAACTCTGTAATGAATACCTGCAGATCTCCCATTTGTCTCCTGCACCTCTGCTTTCGGTCGTCCTGTTTGGGCAGGTTGGGGTTGACTCTGTGAGTCTGAGGCTTTGGTTCGCGGCCCTTCATGAGTCCAGTGTCTGTCGTGGGTGTGAGGTGGTGACTGATCCTCTGTTTTATGCCTGAGAACAGCAAGGTTGTCATCTTCGGGGCTGGCTCTGGCAAAGGTGTGCTGTCTGTTTGGAGCCGAGCTACTCTGCGTTTGGAGGGCAGGTTTCTTCTGCTGTGTCACTGTGGCTCTGTGAGGGGACGACAGCGTGATGAAGACGGAGGAGACCATCCTTTTTTGGGGAGCTGCTGATGCCATGGTGGAATGAAACCCTGATAAAGCCTGACTGAATGACAGAACAATTGTTATTACTAACAGAGATCAATGTGTTTCTGTCTTGACTGCAGTGAACGCCCTCAGTCAACATTAAAAGACTTCTAACTTTCCTCCTGAGAAGAATAATCACACACCTTCAGCTTTTATGACCTACAATGAATGGTTCAAATGAAAGAATCTGAAACATCTGGTTCCTGCTTACCTGGAACAAATGCAGGCCTTTATCTTCTTCTTTTCTTCTTTTCTGCTCTGTGTGTCAATTTTTCTGTTTTATTTTCACTCCCATGAGCTGCCTCTGAGAGAAGACTTTACTCTGGTGGCAAGGGGCGCCTATCTACAGAAAGCCACTCCTTTTTCCTCCTCTATCTCCCTCCCTCTCCTGCTTTGCCGTCTGCCGACCCCTCCTCCTTTCTCTGGCTGAATGACAATCCTGCCTCCCTCCTAACCATAAAAAGTGAACAGCTAATCTCTGGCAAAGTGCAGTAAAAAAAAAAGAGAGAAAGAGAAGGAAAAAAATCATGACACATCCATCCACTATGAAAACTTGGCAAGCACTGGAACGCTCATACACCGACTCAGAGGCACGTACACTCACACAAAAGTTGTGCAATGTACAGTTTAATCAACAGGACTGTTTCTACAGTGTCATAAAAGTTTTTTTTTTTTACCCTGACGTGGACAAGCAGAGACACACAGCCAACTCCCACTATGTTATCTATCAGCATACCATCCGGAATTGACTGTACCTGTGTTTCTGAGCTACTCTCTACCTCCAAGTGTCCAATTTTTCATCTCCTGTATAGCTCTCCCTTATTGTCCTGTTAACCTTATTTTCACTACCTCCCTCACTGGGTCTGCCTGATTTTTTTTCTTTTTTCTTCTTCTCCCTCTTTCCTTCTTCCCTTCCCCCACATTGTATCACTTTTAGTCTTTACACACTATCAGTATCTTGTGGCATTAGCTGCATTTGGGCCCCCTGCAGAGCTCTAAATTGGGAAACATAGTTTGATAACAGATGTGGAATTTCAAAGTTTTTCGTTGAAGTTTCTGGTGATCAGCATCTGTTTCTATGCTTTCAACCAGAGCTCTGTGACAAATCAGTTGAGAGAAAGATGTGTGGAGTGATCAAAAAGCTGTGGTTCTTCGTTGGGCCGAAGTGAACATATCAGGGTTGCTGATAAGCAAATATTATGACTACTTTCAGGAGACTGTGATGTCATTTCCTTCCCTTTAAATCTAAAAATGGATGCTAGAAACCAAGTTTTCTCGATGTATGTGCAAAACTGGGGCAGTGCGGTGAGGGTTAATAGCAGATGGCAATGAAGAGAGTGATGGGGGTCTCTGTTGTTCTAGCTCTGTGGAAAGGAATGCTGCAGTGATGTCACGGCTGCAGGAGGGAGCATGCCCACGGATGATACAATCCCAGAACCTTCACGCTCCTCCCCCTAACAGCAAAATTCTTCATTAAACTGTGTGAACCTCCTTCTTTTCCTTTAGTTGCATGACTTTGATTTTTGACTTGAGGCACAGTATATCATTTTACCTTTAACCCAACATCCATAAAATATTAAAATGATAAAAAAAAAAATCAAACATTTACAGAAAACACCAGGTAAGATGGCTATCTCTATAGTTATGCTGCTATAGACGTAGACTACTTGAGGACATAGGGACACTTTTTCTGCTTCATTCTATCTCTATTCTTCAATTCTGCAGTATTTGTTGGTTCCACCGATAACTTTATGCTCCCTCTGCTTTTTCTCATCATAGTAACTTCATCTGGTCTGTCCCCGTTTAGCTGTGACACCATCCTGGATTGAAACATTAGCTGGCTGCTGCCATCAAAGCCTCTGTTAATAGATGTTGGAGCTTGGCCCGTTTTTTTTCAGTGAAGTCCTGTTTCTTTTACTATTGCTAACTGTAGGTGCTCTCTTTCATTCCCTGACAAGAGAATTGGCTCGGAGCTCATCTGCCTGGCTGCGTCTTTCCTAGATGGATTCACCTGTGGAGCTAGTTAACATTAACCTTGAACCAGATTTGGCCTCGGCAGATGGCCGCTCACACTGAGCCCGGTTCTGCTGGAGGGTATAAGCAGAACTTCCCGTTATAAGGGAGTTTTTCCTCTCCACTGTCACTACATACGTGCTCATAGTGAGGCAAGCTCATCCAGGATGAGCATGTCTTGCAAGTCAACGACTTGATGCAATCAAGTGGTTTTCCTTTATGCAAACCTTAAACCAGTCTGTCTGTATTGACCCTGTAACGTGCCTTGAGATTATATGTGTTGTAAATTGGTGCTATATAAATAAACTGAACTGAATTGAACCAGATGAGATCATAAGATCGTATTTCCTGGAGTCCAAGAATTTGAATGATGCAGTTAAATCTCACTGTCCATCACCACTGATTGAGGAAAATGTAAATAGGAAAGTAGAAGAAGCAAATAACTTTTCTTTGGTTTCTATTGGGGGAAAGGTTTCCTCAACTGCTGATCTTACTCAGCGAAGTCTGTGATTATTTTTTTTAAACACTTGTTATTTCAACGAATTTCCCAACAGGATTTAAACTTCAAAGTAAATAGATAGCATCTGGGAACATCAGTTTTAAATTCTTGCCCCAGATTCTCAGGTGGATTTTGGTCTGATTCTCAGTCCCTATAATCAAAAATGCTAGGCTGTATTCCAAAATGTAAAAATATACAAACACTGAGGACTGTGGCATTTAAAGCTTTCTTAGACTTGTTAGACTTTCGTGTGACTTTTCGCACATGAATTTGAGTGGCACCTCATTTAGAATCCATAGGGTTTAATATGATGGCAGGCTACTATCGTCTGCTATAACAGCTTCAACTCTCCTTTGAAGGATTTGCACAAGTTTTAAAGTTCTATGATAATTTTAACCATTCCGCCAAAAGACATCTCTGTGGTCAGACAGGTATGCTGGACATCAAGGGCTGACTAACAGTCTCAGTAGTCATTTACTGCAGTCCTTTTTCACTGAATTGATGTCAGGACTTGAGGAGCTGAATCCAAAATAATGCCACAAAGCTTGGAGCATGACCTTTCCAAAAAATGTTGCAAACTTCTTAAGAATCTGCTTATTGTCTCTTTTGCACATAACTTTGCACTAGGATTGCTGAAAGTAAATTCATTACTCAGGATATATATCCTTATTTTCTTCAGAGTTGTATTTGTTTTTTGCTCCTTATTATAAGTCATTATGATTGTTTTCGTTACACTTACTTCTACAGAGTAGGCACAGATGCACATCAGTTTGATCAAAAACATATTTACACTTTAACTCCTTCAGTTGCTCATGTTGATTTTTTCTAATAATCTTTCAATGATAATTTCTTATCCCTTATTCAAGCTTCATTTTGGCAATTGAAGCTACACATCTGTGTAAATGTATACTAATGTTGGGCTGGGATAATCATGGTTTAATTATGAGCTCCCAGCATGCCTTGCAGCTCTGACATCACACTATTGGTGATACAGAGCTACACAACCCAACCTTCAGACTCTTTTTAGGTGCTCTGAAGGGGGGCAACTCTCACCTGTCAATTTGGTGTTGGTTTAATCAATAACTATTGACTTTACTAATTGAGTGAGTGAATACACAGAAGCATAGTTTAATGTCGTTGTAATATTCACTGCTCTTGGAAAGAGAGCGATTCCTTATCCACTGTTATTATTGCTCTTATCTTTTTTTTAATGGGAAGATTTCTCATCAGGTCTTGTACAAATCTCCCCATAAGGCCCTGTAAATTAGTGCAGCCTTTAAAATTAAATAAAGTACAAGAAATTAGATTATAATATTTTCATGTAAGTGAGAGAAAACTGGTGGAGAACCACAAAATTGATAACATGTGGTAGCAATTAGTGGTCAACAGACATTAAGTTTGGCTGCTGTGACTATAATCTTGAAAATGCCTGTTTTTTGCAGATATATCCATAGATGTCTTGTGTTAAAAAAAAAAAAGTTATTTGCTTGATGCAACAAGTAACACATTCGCAGCTGGCTTTATTTCATAATTTTGCATGAACAATTGGTTTTAAGCTTAAAACACAGTGCACAGATTCAAAACTAGGTTTTGCAAATTTAGAAACATTTCTAAAAACACCCAGATCATTCTTTTAACCCATGATGCTTTGTTTGGATGCCATGTCATCGACTCTTTTTCTCCTCCTTAAGATGTGGTCGGACCTCTGTTTGGAGTTTGCTGCTCTCTTGTTCTTCCTGAAAATAAACAATGCAAGCTCTCATCAGTGATTTTTAGAATTTTCAAGTAAAATAACCAACTATGTAGCTATTACAATCCAATAAAGAAAGAACCTTTACTGCAGCCTGCAGCAGATCCTGAGCAGGCAGCAGACAGACTCCTTCTCCCAGAAAGGCGATGAGGACATGGAGAACATCTGACCAGTATCCCACTGCCAGCATAAGCACCAGCAAGCCTCCCAGTCGCAACACTACGGTGCGCAGGAGGGTCTCTGTAACGGTCATTCGCTTCTGTTCCTCTGTGAATTATAATACAAAACAGATTGTGTTTTTAGAATTATTCATCTGTTTTAAATGTTTTCTATGATTCAGCACCAGTGTAATTTTCCCTAAAAATATCTTTATCTCAGTCTCTGCATTTGAAGCTCAATATCAGATTCAACGTGATAGTTTAATAATTTATTTCACCTTTAAGTGACATCTGGAAGTATTAACTTGCTAGTGGTCATTTTCAGGTTTTCTCTAAAGGTCTTAAACAGATTTAACAATATTATCAAGGCCGCCAGTTAAACCTTTCAAACACGCTCCCTTTCACTACACTACACAATCTTTTTTGCTATATTTACAGTGTATAAAACTAAAAAAATTATCAGCTTTGAAGGTTTTTGAGATGAGAAATATGTCTCAATTCCTATGTTGACAAAGCCTGGGATATCCCTGGAGCACAATGTCCTATTGCATATCAAAGTAACAGTAACTAGGTACAACCTTCTGTTATGCATAGTCTGAGGAACTTTATGATGACTTTAAACAGCGGCCCGGTTTCTGCCTCCAGCAGCCGGATTTATTTTAATGTTGATTATAATATTAAGAGGTAGTGTTATTTTTCTTTTTTTCAATGAACTTCGTCTAAAATGCGTGATATAATGTTAATTTGTTAAAACTCATGGGTCCTTCACCCCGCTTAACTTTTATGCTTTTTTGTAAAACTTTATAGTCTCAAGTTTTTCAATTTTTTTTTTTTTTTTATATTTAATTTTACTACTCAGTTCCACCCCACTTTGAGCCAAACTTACTGAGAGCCTCTGTAAAGGGCCCAAAGAGCCACATGCAGCTCTAGAGCAGACCTTGGTATTACAATCATCTACTTTGAGTATCACCTTGGTTATAGGCCACCAGCATAGTGTAGCAGAGTGTCAGGGGAGTCCAGAATTTCATGGCATCCTTCTGGGATAAGAAGTGCTCATAGACAGTGGTGGTGGAAGCCACAGCTGCTGTAGCAAAGGCCAAGATAACCGCTCTTTGCAGTGAAGCCATCATGGTGTGTCCAGAGGTTAGAAGGCTGATGCACTTCCCACAGTAACAATCGGTTCTGTGCTGTGGGAACAGTCTGGCCACATGGCTCCACAGACTGCTGCTGTAACTTGCCAGTACCCAGCTGAGGGCAGCTGCCAGCAGCAAGCCGAAGGAGCTGTGTGGAGCCCCCTGATGGATGAAGGCCAGAGTGCAGGTGAGGCCGCAGCCCAGGGAGAACTGACTCTGGATTAGGAGCAGTTCCAGACCTCTGGAGTCATCATCCTGATTTTAGACAGAAACAGTACTGAGTCTACATCTGCAGGCACACAGATGTGAGGTAAACTGAAAGCAGAATGTTCTTGTTGCGAACTTAAGGAACTCACCGCTCCGGCTAAGGTCAATGCAGAAACAACTCGGAGGGAAAACTCCAGCACAATGAGGGAGGAGACCCTCGAGCCCACCAAAGACAGAACTCCAGTCAGAAACCAGAACTGGAGAGCCGCTTTCCATTTCCTTCTCAAAGGGTTTGTGGAGGAGGATGATCTCTGCTTGCTTCCACTTTGAGTTTCCGAATCACTGTATGAACAAAAAAGCAAAATCACACTCATCCTAAAATGCAAGCCTTATTTTTCCTTTTTTGTACTATGACTCACCTGCATGCCTGAATGAAATTATAAACTCTCATCAAATTATAAAAGACTGACACTCCACACGCTCCTATAAGTCCTTTAAAATACAAACGTAACAGTATATGAAAAGCAGAAAAATACATCAGAACAAAAATGGGATTCAGATTAGAAAGAACATTGTTGTAAACTGACCCTTAAGAAAACAGTCAATTGGATTCGAATCAAAAGGTGACCATTCAAACACTTCCAGGATCCAAAAGAATGGAAAAAATATATTCATTTTTTTTCCTCGATTGCCTAAAAATTGCACTCAAAATAGTATGTTCCAGTCATGCTTCTGCCCTTTGAAAATCTCGGAAGACACCACCATGAAGCAAGCTCTTCAAGCTCTCAGCCAGAAAACACAACATAGATTGACTTTTTCCTGCTGATGAACCAAGCTACTGACTGTCCAAAGGTTAAACTATTTGGCTCCAGTTGTCATTCTAAAAAATTTTCCATTAAAAGGGTTAAAAGTCCTCTGATAGATAAGATTGTTAAGTAAATAAACTTGTTTTAAGAGATTTAACTGGATCTCTTAAACAGTTGATGGGGGTCTAAGTTTTAGATAAGAATCGATGAGTTCATCTTCATATTGACCTGTAGAGTTTTTGTATAGTTAATTAAATCTATTCAAGGCAAAATACTTTTTTGCCTCTGTATTATAATTTGTTTATAGCATAAATATTGTAACTCCAAGGTAGTTTTCAGGGGTCGATTATTTACCTTGGCTGTTTTCATTACATCAAACAGGCTAAAAACTGATTTGCCAGACCTAAGTCTATCCCATCAAACAACCCATAGAAGATTATTTGATGTTACCCAGAGCATTTAAGATGGACGGCTTGGAAGCATTTCTTGGCAACCAGAGGAAATGTATTTCCTTTAGATTTGGAACAAATTATATGATATATTTAACACTATGCATCAGCATTTTCTGCATCTACAAGTCTTTCAAAAAATTTCTCCATAGGCTTTGAGCAAAGAAAGACAAAACTAGCAATAAAGTTTTTCTTTGAAAAACCGCTTACTCTCAGAATCAAAAGCACAGCATCTGAATGATAATCTTACATTCATGTTCAAACATCTCAGTAGTTCTGGACTTTCACTGGAAAATGAATAAAGATCTAAACCGTTGTTTTCCTGCTCGAAAGTGAACATCCACCCAAGCCTTCAGTATTCTGCAGCCTTTACCCAGTTTTTATTCTCAGATTGATCTGTTTTCGGTTGATATCACCTTTAAGTCTAATCAGCATGCACATACTTACAATAGACATAACTCTGCAACAGACACAACTCTACTCCAAAGCTCTGTTTCACTATAAAGTGTGTTTGACCAGTGTAAGTCTTTATGTGTACTGCAGACTAATGCCCTGGCCTACTCTTGCAAATGAAACCTAAATCTCTATGGAGATTTTATCTGGCTAAATAAAGGAAGTGAAAAGAAAAACAAAAATCCGCTGCAAAGCTTTTCACAAATCCATTTGTACAAGTCTTTGGTGTTCATGGTGCTGTTTATTCACTCATGTTTAACAAACAGCTTCAGCTGCATTTAAATTTAAATAAACTTACTAAGGCCGATAAATGGACATCGCTTACAAATTTGTCCATTTCTGAAGCCACTTAATCGTTTAGGTCATTATGGTCAATAATGTTAAATATAAATATAATCTTTCTTTGGAGCTTTTCATTTAAATTTTAAATTTATGTTTGATTTTAATTGTTGGTCTGTCATATAAAATCCACTTCAAATACACTGAAGTTTTCCTTAAGTTGGATGTTTAAGTTTTTTCCCGTTGTTTTTTTATGTTTAGCAGTTTTTTCCTTGTTTATTCCTTGATTCTTTTTGTGTATTCATATTTACTTTTTAAGAGCACTGTTAATCCGTTTGGTTAGACGATTTGGTACAACTCTAGTCAACTCTGCTCTTGTAAATTAAGCCTTTTTAACAATGACCCTTCACTCTTCCTCTGTCTTGCTTCCTGTCTGGATCATCTGGTTTTTAGGAATTTTTGCTCTTTCAAAACAGACTTGGTCTGTATTTCTGACAGACAACAGAGGAGGGCTCTTCCTTATGCAACAGCCTCAAAAAGCTGGTGGGAATGACTGCATTGAGTAAAATGCTTTCTACTTGCAAAGAGAAAGCAAAGATGATGGACTCTTCCTCAGTCTCCCTGAACTGCTTCTTGACGTGATCTTCTAATATACTCACCTGCATTTTACACACATGGACAAAATTACTTGTACCCCCCATACAATGTAACAAAATCCAACAATGGTCAAAGAAATAACTTGAATATGACAAAAGTGAAAATAGATAACAATTCTATAAAAATTAACAAATGAAAGTCAGACATTGTTTTAAACCCAAGCTTCAATTGCATGACTCAAAGAAGAATAAACTGATGATACAGGCATGAACAAAAATGATATTACCCCTGGAAAAAAATGAAAATAATGTGTCCAAAGGACATGATAAATCAAGGTGTGTTCACTAATTAGCATAACATGCGTCTAAAATATTGAATCAGTCAGTGAGCCTACCGTATATTTAGGGCTACAGGTAGTCACTGTGCTGTTGTATGACATGGTGTGTACCACACTCAACATGGACCAGAGGAAGATAAGGAAAGAGTTGTTTCAGGAGATTAGAAAGAAAATAATAGACCAGCATTTTTAAAGATAAAGGCTATAAGACCATACCTGAGCAGCTTGAAGTTCCTAGTTCCACATTAGTTAAAAATTTAAGATCCATGAGACTGTAGCCGACTTCCTGGATGCAGCTACAGGAGGAAAATGTATGATAAATCAAAGAGACTGATAATATGAATGATAACAAAAGAGCCCAAAATAACATTTAAAAAGATTAAAGGTGAACCTTGAGGTCAAAGAACATCAGTGTCATATTTGAGCCAAAATGGTCTTAATGAGAAATGACTAAAGAGGACACTATTGTTGAAAACAAAGAGAAAAGCCATATATTAATTTACCAAACTACATGTTGATAAGCCACAGAGGTTCTGAGAGAATGTCTTATAGAGACATGAGGAAATTTTAACTTTTTTCCAAGGCACATCAGCTCTATGTTTACAGATGGAAAAATAAAGCATATAAATAACAGAACATCGTCCCTGCTCTGAAACACTGAGGAGGCTCTGTTATGTTCTAGGACTTATTTCCTTCATCTTTTACAGGGTGTTTGGATTCTCTGCAGGTTTCAAAGAAATCTTAATGTTATTAAGGGATTCTAGAGACAAATGTGCTGCTCAGTGTCAGAAAGTTTGGTCTCAGTTGCAGGTCTCAATCACAGGATAATGATCCAAAATACACAGAGAAAAATAGCCAGCAAATGGATAAGAGGAAAACATTGGACAATTCTGAAGTTTCCCTCTATGAACCCTGACCTAAATCAGTCATTTTGTCCAGGCCTCTTTAAAGAGATTATTTTTTAATTATCATTATGTTGAAGCATGGCTTCCTTTAAGAGTTTTTATTTATTGTTACTTTTGTCAGATTCAAGTTTTTTCTGTGACCATTGAGGGCTTATCCTTCATTAACTAAGGGGTACCAACTATTTTGTCCACGTGTCCACGTCATTGTCCATTTATCCCACAGCATATACATTTTTTCTCACTGGTTCCCATTGCTCTTTGCTGGATTATTCTGTTCTAATCTGTGATGGTCTGTTTCCCTGTCACCTCATTGCCTATGCTTCTCCATCGGTTCTCTTTGTCCACTTATTCTTCTGTCTGCTGTAAGTTTGTCTGTTATCATTTTGAGTTAATCTTTCACACATCATGCTTCTCCCCACTTCCTGTTTGCACTTTGGTCCTTCTACAACCTCACACCCCATTTAAAAATTAAAAACACCAAACAGAGAGAGATCATACTAGGTCACAAACTTACTGTTTATGTGATGTGACTGCAGATTGGAAGATAATGACATATGTTTTAGTGTGTAGTCACTATGACATGATTAGCAGTTTCAGCATTGTTGCTAAAAATAATTTATTTTCACAAAAGAAACCTTTTCCATTTCTCCTCACTTCTGCACCCAGAAAAAAAAAAAACCCACCAAGACGCAGCAGGCTGAGGGAGTTGGACAATACAAATGGAGTCAAACAGAAGTAAATTTGACATTTGAAAAGATAAAGGTTCAGGTTGACATCACGAAAGCAGATTCTGTTGCAAAGTGTATTAAAAAAACAAAACAATGATTTTGTGTTAGTATTAACAAAGACACAATATGTTTATTGTAATTATTTACTACCACAAAGGTGCTTAAATCCGGTGTTTCAAGTCTTCTATACAAAACTTTAAATGACGTAGATTCACTGCTTTGCAGTTTCTACTCCCTAACAAGTCATTAAAAAGAAAAAAACAACAGTTGTTTTTCCTTTTAGGCAAACAACAAGACAACTGGCATATATATCAGAAATCTGACACATACAGCAGTGGTTACAGACTGAAGATGGAAGACAGTGTCTTTTAGCTAGCAAGCAGCTCTGCTTCATGAAAGCTGATCAACAGCCTTACATTCATCACAGGTTTAAGATAATCTTATATGAGACCATTTGGTTATCATATCCCCATCTTGATAAATTGTAAAACAGAGTTTGATCTTCTAGACTGTATTTCATTAATATGAAGTTTTTGGATTAGTCAGAAGTTATTTTCAACTCTGATTTTTAGTTTTTTTCTAATATTGATCATATTATGAGCTTCTGTAATATTTTATCCAAGAGAAATGTAGAGGAACTTTGCAGCCAAGATGCTGCTGTTGCTCCATTGCTGATATAAGCCTTCATTTATTACTTGCAAGAATGATAAACAAGGGCAGATTGTCAAAGCTTTCAAGTTCAGTATGAAATTTGTTTAGGTTAGTTTTCCGTTCAGTTTTCTGCGTCTATTTGTCTTTGACAGCTTGCTGCCTCATCAGATCCCAGAACAGCATGCTGAGCACTGTGTGCGGAGCCAGCCGCAGGAACACAGGGCCCATTCCTTTATATAATCCCAGGGGTCCCTCAGCTTGGCATACTTTCAGCAAACAGTCTGTAAACCCATGGTAGAGGCGCCCCTGCAGAGATCAAAACAAGATAAGTTCTCACACACTTTGATCTCTCAATAAGCCCACCCTAAAATAACAAACATCTGAGAGTGAAGTGAAGGAGAGAGCTTTTAAACTCACTTTGTGAAACTCGTCCACCGGCTGGTTGTAGAGCCGTGTGCTAATCACATCAAATGGAGTCATGGTGATAGCCACAGCAACACCGCTGATGGAGGCAGCTATCAGTGCTGTGAGCCACCCGTTGGCACTGAACCACTGCAATGTCAGAAAGAAACTGCTGATTATCTGTACTGACTGATATGTTACATGCATAAAAAAAAGCTTTTAATTTTACATACTTGAGTATGAGACACCCAGTCCTTGGCTGAGGTGAAGGTGGCCAGCTGAGCAGCTGATCCCACCATGACTCGGGGAACGGCCCCGTTCACTCCCCTCCACAGACCACTCAGGCCCTCTCTTCTATAGATGGTAACAAAGGCATCGGAAACACTCTGAAAGAAAAGACCCAAGCATCAGTAACACTTTGATGATCTTGAATCTCCGAGGGCTGCTGATGGAGGGGGTTTGGCCCCCGTAAAGGTCACATTCTAGAGCCAGCCGTAGAACACAGAGTGCTGATGCATCCTCAGACCTGTTTAGAGAAACATGTTATTATGTCGTTAGTCATGACTAATGAACTACCATATTAATTCACCAGTGTATCATCACTGATCGAATATTTTTAAGGTATCCATTGATAAGATCGGACAGGTTATCAGCACTTCAAATACCTCTGTCATTAATACCAAAAAGAAAAGAAAAATCTATTTTTTTAAATCTGCTGACAACCAGCTAAAGTACTTTGATGCACTTTCGTCTGAGTATAAAACAACTCAGATAAAGGACATGACTGAATGTGTCAATAGGGCTTCCTATCTTGTAATCCCTTCAACTTTGATTGAACTTAAAGCTTCTACCCTCTACTTTTATTACAACCCTACAGAAAAATACATCAAGACTTTTGATACTGTATGTAAAGTTCAGAAAGTAAACTGGAATGAGCATCTAAAACCATAACTAAAATAGAAAATCAGTATGCACCTTTAAATCTAAAGGTTTACATCTAGTTTAAGGGTTTACTTAATTGTTTACCAATGTGTCTGCTTTATAGCATACTAGTTTAATAATCTGCTACATAAGGATGGAAAAAAATCTGTGGTTTAAAAGGTAAAAAGCAGATTATTTATAGGTTCAAACCTTAAATAATTTTTTTTTATTAACCCTAGGGTTTGCAGAGGCTGTAATTGGTATTCTCAATGACTGACGGTTACTTACATGGCTGTGAAGCACCAGTATTGTTTAAACAATACTAGTAGTTTTTTCTTTGGCAAACATTGCCTCCATAGTCTGCTTGTTTACAGAGTAAACCAATCTTTGATGATGGACTGAGCACATTAAAATACACAATGATGTCAGAGAATCTAAAGGTGATATATAAATAAAAAAAGATTATCACAAAAAAGGGGCATTTGAAGTGGGTAGAATCATTTATAAGAAATAAAAAGTTAAAGAAAAACATAATGTTTTGTTCTGGATTAAGGAAACTTGTGTCAAATTTACCGAACAGTTTCAGATTGCTATAGGAAAATTATTAGAAAATAAAATAAATGCATTGTTAACTAACTGAATTGTTTCAAACTTCAAACTATTTGAGCTTTTGTTTAAAGATGAGCACATTCAGAGCAGAACAAATCACAAAAAAGCTAACTTTGGGGGAATGGATATGGAGTTTAATTTCTCATGTAATTGTTATGCACAGAAAAAAATTCAAATTTGCCTATAAAAACAATGTTGACGGGTAAACACTTTCATATGCAAACTGCGTACCTCATAGATTAAGGGTATCTTACAGCAAGGAGAGCTCCTTTAGTTACAGGCTGCTGCAGCCAAACACACAAACAAGCATATGTTTGTTTTCCACAGCAGCTGTTAGGCTGTATAACTATCACTGCACCCAGTAAACCCAGCAGGCTTGTTAAATCCCTGCTACTCATTGCACAGCTTGCCATATACTTGTTAGAGTTCTGGTTCTGTTATGTTTTTCTTTTGAGTGTTCAGATTTGCTTTACTCCTTGTTTTCTAGTTTTAGTGATTTTATTTTTATTTTGCTGTGTTCTCTGGTTAATTCTTAGTAACTGTTTCAGTCTTGGCTCTGTTATGTTTTTCTTTTGAGTTTTCAGTCTTACTTTGCTCCATGTTTTATAGTCTTAATGGTTTAATTCTTGTTTTGTTGTGTTTTCTGGTTATTTTCAGTTTTCTAGGTTTTTTATTTGTTGCCCTCTGCTGCCCTCTTGTGTTCTCCTTTTTCCCAAGCTCCTTTTCTGTTCTGCTCTGTGCACACCTGTTCCCAATCTGCTCGTTACTCCTCTCTTTGTCTCAGTTTCCCTTAAATATCCCCTCTGTTCAGTTCTTCTTTGCTGGGTCCTCGCCAAGCTTGCTCCAACTCCGTCTCTCTGAGCCTTCCTCCTTGTGATTGTGATCCCCCTGATGTCTCCATGGTTTCTGGTTCATCTTGACTCGTTTTCTTGTTTTGATTTTTGGATTTTTGGACTCCTGGTTTAATGGTAGTTTGGGCTTTGTTTTCTTTTAGATTTTTGGATTCTTGGTTTCCTGTTTGTTTTTGGACTTTGTTTTCTTATTTGGATTTTTGGATTACCTGCCTCTATTCTCAGTTACTTCATCATTAAATCCACAAGAAATTCACCTCTTCTCCCTGCCTCTGCTTTTGGGTCAACAAACCTTAACCCGATCGTGACAATACTAGTAACTAGTCTGTAATTGCATAAATATATTTAAAAGAGCACACATTTTGCAGTTTCTAAATACATTTGGATAGCTTTTAGAAACTACATCTTTTTTTGTAACAGTATATTATTTTCTACTTTACAAAGTTGAACTTTCTATTCAATCATTATTTCATTTTCATTAATATAATTATGTCTATCCATTCGCTTCTAATGATGTTTTCCTTGCTTCTGATATCTGTGAAAGTCTCCGACTGAGGGAAATAATACCCACCTGTAGAAAGCTGTAGTGGGAAGACTTTATTCATCATTGATGCAATATAAATGTGAAATCTAGTTTTGTTTCTGGTTTATGCACTGTTGAAACCAGAGAAGGCACTTTGTTCTTTTCTTACCAGATGGTTATGTTGGTGACCAACAGCTATGGCATCTACAGTCTGAGCTTGCAGATGAGTCTTTACCTGTGGAGAAAACAGTAACAAGGCTTTAAGTTCTTCATTCCCTTGTCAGACCATATGTCTGCAATATATATCACTGTGCTGATAATTAAGTGCACACAGATCAAGGCTTGTCAGTTTTTGTAAGAATTATAGTGCAAGTCTCCCATCAGTTAAGCAGTATGTGCCTTTTTGGAACGGGGACAAACATATCTGACAGTATGAAATGTGCCCCTGACCTCAGAAAACAAGAAGTGAAAGCTGAGGCATCTTAACACCTGCAACTCTTTGCAGAAAGGACAGCACATATATAACAAGCAACAACATTCCAGGAAGTTATTAATGTGAAAAGATATTGATAAAACAAACATTAGAAGGTTTAATTGAAGCCAAGCATAAACATGTGAGGTTAGGTTGTATAAAGAACCTTGAAAGTAAATATCATCAAAGGCTCATCTTACAAATACAATTACATCCTTACAGTGCCTCTAAGCGCTACTGGGACCAAAATAGAGCATAGAAATCTGAGATGACTTCAAACCTGATCAGACATCTATTACTTTGACTCCTCAGGTCAAAGGCAGCAGGGCTACGAACCCAACTTGGATAAAGTTCATCCATTTAAAGTCAATATGTCTTTTCATTTCTTTATACCAAACTTTAAGTACCCCATTTTTCTATAAAACAGCTAAAATATGCAGGTAAACATTGTATGTGTGTGTATACACTTGTGTTTAATACATGGGGCCCATTTTCTGGAAAAATAACACTTTGTGGAGACCGACCTCTCCTTGAGGGGTCCGATGCCTGCATGAAGCCCAAATGGAGAATTGCTGTTTTAGGGTTCAGGATTAAGCTGTGAATTTAGTTTAAGTTGGGGTTAAGGTAGGTATGAACCCCTAATGGTTCGTGTTAGGGTAAGGGTCATGGTTAGGTTGTAGAAATTAATGGAAGTCAATTGAAAGGCCCCGCAGTGATAGAGAGACAGGTTTGTGTGTGTTGTGTAATGCCTTTATAAACAAGCCTCTACATGTATGACAGAGTCATCCCTCATTTATACAACCAGTCTTCAAATAATGCCTTCTAGTATTATCCTACAATGTTTCTGGTATTTTTGCAGATACTTGTACTCTAAGTAACCCAGCCCGCCCAAACAAGTAAAAATAAAAAACAAGAAACTCATTTATTTAACAGGTGCAGGGTTAACCTTTCACCGCCATGGCTTCAAATAAGAAACATTATCACTAGACACAAAAGGAACACTCTGTTAAGAACGTGTCCAAATTAGTCAAAATATTGCATTAAATGAGCACCTTCTGTTCCATTAAAGCCCCAGAACAGAAACAAAATGGAACATCATTTTACGCAGTAAGGTCATACTTTTAACCCCTCATTTGCTCTGTTCTCTGTTGCCCCTTTGTTTATTGATTCTGTTGATAAAGATGGGTAACTCATTTGTTTTATTTATCAGCAAAATATTTTTATTATAACATTTTACCATCACAGCAATTAGTTAGTCTCAAAAAAATACCTTAGATTTGGAAATGATGATCCTGTTTTTCTGTTAATCTAAGATGATGTGGTGGTGATGGCCTTTAATCATTGGTAGATTGATGAGAAGGGATTGTACGCTGCATACAGCCAGGTTTCAGTAAATTCAATCCAAAACAACTGCATAGTTGATCTGCTACTGAGCATTACGGCATGGAAATACCCTTAACAGACACCAATGCCATTGTTAATTACACTCCGTGACAATTCATATCAAATAAATTTTTATAGTCCCCCAAATCCTTTTGTAGTTCACTTTTTCACTTTAGTCAGAGTGTCTAGAAACTATTTGTAATTCATGACTTCCTGATTTCCCAGAGTTCAAATTAGTGTTTATAGCCACACTTTAAAATTGTAAAGATAGGAGGACAGGGCAGAAGGCTGTTTATCTCCATAACTGAGGAAATGTCAACAAGAAAACAGCTGCTGGACTAAACTTGCCACAATCTACAGTCAGATAAATAATTAAAATGTTTTTCTACAACACTTTTCTACACATCTTTACTATGCATGTCAATGAGGCTGCAGCAAATTCATGTCAGGAGATAATAACCTATGTCCTTTTTCTGATAGCCCTCTTGTTTTTAACTGCACTAGTTGTTCATTAACTAGTGTGGTCTCTTAAAGTTCTATATATGTGTGCTGAGTGTAATCTAATGACTGGTCCTGCCTTGCACATGGTTTGAACTTCCTCTCAGCTTTAATTTTTGACATGCTGCTCTCCTTGAACAGACGGTACGTAACAAATAAGGCCATAATAAGCTCACATGCTGCTCATTGTTCAAGGAAGGCAAATGAAAAATGTCACGAGGACATGCAGAAACCAGCCAGGTAACTTGTTAGATAAAGCTGTGAAGATTTCATAGATGGAAAGTAAAATGGTTTGATGAAATAAAAAAAGTATAAACATTTCTTGATAATTAGTAAGTAATTTTAAAACAACAACAACAACAAAAACTCCTTAGTACATATGTGACTTGGTAAAATCAGATGTAATCACTTAGACAACTATTTAAATATGAATCTTTTTTTAAATAATGACCATTACTTGTGGTCAAATAGACCCTCACATCTGATTGTTTGATTTTCGAAGCGTTTTACCTGCAGTCAGTCATTTTGAAGGCATAATTCTAGCCTACAGATGAAATGAAGACTTGATGTGCTGCAACAAAAGAGTAAGATCTCTCCCTTGTTTAGATGATTGATCATTTAAGCTATGATGCTCAAATCTTAGCATTTCCTTTCATATTTAGGAGGATGAACTTGAAACCAAAGGCTATATAGTTTTTTTTTTTTTTGATCTGTTGTCACTCATTGTGTCCTTTAGTTCTGCTGTTTTAACACCACAAAGCCCCTATAGACGCATAAAAGGCTATAGAGAACAGCAGCAGCTAATGCAGCTTTTGATTTTTTTTCTCTTTAAGAAGTTTTCACTCACTGCTTTTTTTGCAACAATGTGGTTGAACTGTAGTTTACTAACCAGATAAGCAGGAGAGGCGATGAAGGCACCTAGGGCCCCGGCCCCTGCACCTGACAGCAGACTGCCTCCATGAAATGCAGTGAAGCCCATAGATTCACAGCAGGAGTAAGAGCCGAGCCTCACTCCATTCATCACACCTTGGTAGATGAGCCCAGCTGAGAGCCCCTTTTGGAGGCCCCTGAGCCCGTCTGTGCGACCAACCACCAGCAGGGCCTGCAGGACTCCCCTGTAGTGTACCTGGTAGGATCCCCGAGCACGAAGCTCCCCCTGAAGCTGCAGACGTGTCTTCACGACCTCCAGAGGATTGGTGAAAACACAAGCTGCACAGCAGGCCAGAGCACCCAGCGCAAAGTCTAGAGGGGGCCAAACAACTGGAGGGGGGCCCAAAACGTTGTGGGTGACTGCAGGAGAAGCCATCCTTTGGGAAGGATGGCCACAGAATGAAGACTCTTTAGGTGAACTTTTCAGCAGCTGAGCACTGGTCATCCCTGAGTGTTGCAAACAGTTTGTCCCTCCTGTATGAATTTGTCAGTAAAGCAGAAAAGAAGCGCCCTGAGCAGTTCAGTCAGCTGAAGTGATGAATTATGGTCCGTCTTACATGTTTGTCCTCAGATACAGAAAGAAACTGCCTCGCTCTTCTGCCTGATTTTTGTGACTCTTGTTCACTTCCTTGTGTGTCAGCCTCCAAGAATGAGCCACCATCTCCAAGTTAAAGCAGTCATAATCAAGTAAACACCATTCAGTTCTGATGTTATGGCTTGTTTACAAAAAGCCCAAGGTCAAAGAACTGACTTCGCCCAACGAAATGACGGCTGACATGAGATCCTCCTGAAATGACAAGCATCCAGATTTCTGCTCAGATCGTGTCACAAAGCTTTCACCCGTTTCACTTAATCAGCAATAACTGGACTCTACGCTTAAAAGTTCTAAAACACAACAGCTTGATCAGAGCGACTAGGAAGTTGTCTTACCTGTAAAAGAAGAGACTAACACCACGAAGGACAGAGGTAGTCCAGTTATCTCCTGTATGTGCTGACTTTTCTCTGAATCCCACTGAGTCCACTGCTCCTGTGCAGCTCCATTCCTCCTCTCATTGTAAACATGTGTTCTCAGCACATTCATTGTTAGAGTCTCCTCCTTCTGCTCCATATCAGAGCCAATGCTGTCCCAGCGCTGCCTGCCACCTCATCACTGTCCTCAGAGCTGCACGAATCAGAGACCTCAGCTGCGCTCTGCCCCTGCTCTGCTCCTATAGCATCTCTCTGGGTAAAAGGTTAGTGATCCTCAGAGAGGTTGCAGGAAAGGGGGGGTCTGAAAGAAAGCATGGCAGAGAAGTCAGTGTCAATACTAGGCAAACCTGCCAAAAACAGAATAATCTAGGTAAACCCAGCAGCAAAAAACACCCAAACATAAACATTTCCCTTTTTCTAATATTGGTTTACCTGAAGGTCTTTCTTTTATAATAAAGCTGTTTATTGATTTTGGTACATGATCTCCTTATATTGTGATTCCCTTTAAACATGAGGGCTAACTCCAAAAGATTTTAAATAGTGTGAATGTGTTTGTAACAAAACTTGATAAAAAAAAAAACGTTTTGGAGAAAAAAATAATACTGTTCTTTAACAGGCAAATACTAAGTTCTATCAGCATAAGCTTTGTCAACTGTCATAGTACTACGCCATTCTGACTATTTTACTGTTTTTCACAATACTGAATTAAGTAAGGTTGTTGTAAAAGCTGAATTATATAATATGCCAAGAATGGAGGTAACTTCTAGGTTATTTCAATTAAGCAAAGATGAAAAAAGAAGAAAAGTCCTCTAAGTCAGTGTTTTTCAATCCTGGTCCTCAAGGCACCCTGCCTTGCATGTTTTAGATGTTTCCCAGCTTTCACACACCTGTTATCAATTGATAGCAGATTATCAGGCTTTGCTGAACTGCAATCATCTGAATCAGGTGTGCTGAACCTCAGAAACATCCAAAACATGCAGAGCAGGGTGCCTTGAGGACCAGGATTGAAAAACACTGCTCTAAGTAAACGTTTAATTTTTGCAAAACATTTATGCAATTTCCACCTTTAATAAATACTCGTATTCGTTGACTGTGTCCGAAACGTCCGCCCTAAACCCTAAATCCATCAATCACTATATAGAGTGGGGACTACATAGTGGACATTATAGTGAACTCAGTTAACTGATCGCTTGGACAGACGATCACTACTTTATGCCCCCCGTTGGTACGTAACTCCGTCTCCATCGCTCTGTGACTGTTCCATCTTTGTTACTAATCTGTGCTGTCGGGTAGCAACAGCCTATGGCGACAACAACCCGCTCCGACAGCAAATCCCATAATGCTTTGCAAGGAGATCTCTCCCCAGGATATATCTGCTCCTCTAGTGACCATGGATGATCACTACTTTTCAAGGAGCTCTGTGGGAAATTTCAAGTCCACTACTTTTTCATCCACTAGACTTTCGGGTACTCATTTAAAATGGCATAACCACTATATACCGTCCTATAGAGTGATAAGGGTGGACATTTAGACACAGCCGTTGTCTTCCTCTTTATGCAGGACCAGGTTGCGGTATTAGGAGACTCCCAGACTTCCCTCTCCCCATACATATGCTTGAGCTCTAATTGGGGAAGCCTGAGGCTCTCCCAGGCCAGCTGAGCGACAGTCCCTCCAGCGTTTCCTGGGTCGTCCCCTGGGCCTCCTCCGAGTTGAACGTGCCTGGAATACATCCTAAGGGAGGTGTGCAGGGGGCATTTGGAAAAGATGTCCAAGCCACCTTAGCTGACTCCTTTCGTGTGGAGAAAAAGTGGTTAATCTCCGATCCTCCAGAATGACCGAGCTCCTCACCCTATCTGCAGAGAAAACTAATTTCAGCTGCTTGTATTCCGCGATCTCATTCTTTAGATCATGATTTTATGACCATAGGTGAGGGAAGGGACGTAGACCGACTGGTAAATCTGGATCTTTACCTTGTAGCTCAGCTCTATCTTCCCCATGAGACTAGTGCAGCATCCGTAACATAGCTGCAGCCTCGTAAATCTGTCTATCAGTCTCCTGCTTCATTCTTCCATCACCTTCCATCTATCCATCTACTTAAGGCAGGAACTAAATGACTTTGATGAATATGAAGTTTGAGCAAATTCCAAAATAAATCCATCTATTTTAATTGCATGTTATTCACACAGTGGATCCTGTCATCAAGGTTGGAAAGTTCTAAAACTGTGTATTTATAAACCCCAATATTGTCCTACTGTAGTATCCTGAGTTAGTTATAATATGCAGTACTACCCCCACGCCACAAGAGGGATTGTATTCCCATGTTAGTGATGGGCGAGCTAAGATAAGTATACAGAGGCAGAAAAAGTTGGTTGTTGGTTCTGTGAGAGTGTGCAATAAAGACACCTAAAAAAAGGACATGCTTCGGCTGGACGTGGATTTTTCATAATTAGCCACGTTATCACACCTACGTTCAACCTTTATTGGTTACAGATTTATTGTATCCAACAATAACATAATGATTCCTCCCCACTGTTGCAATGAGTAGGGTTTTCTTTGATTACTGTATTCTAATTGTTAATTATTACCTTTAATAAATCAGTTTATATCAAAATGGACATTACATAACTACTTCGATTTATCTGATGTGACTGCATGAGAATGAACTGATCTGAACCAAAGCAGGTGCACCTGGTCGTGAACTACACCAGTTTATATACACCTTCAGATGAAAGGTGGAAAACAGGACAAAGAGAGAATCAACAATCCTGTAAAGTTAAAATGTTGCTAGGTGACAGCTATTTTATGAAGCCAGAGAGAGGCAAAAGTGATGTGCAGAGCAAAGAGACGATCTTTCCGATTTGGCAGACCATCAGATATTGTTTTGATGCCAAACAAAGAAATTCATTGTTTAGTTTTTTTGTAAGACCAGACAAGAACAAACCTAGGCACAGAGCAGACAGAGGCCTTTATTGTTCAACTATGTTCATGGTACAGTGTCACATCTCTCTGCCACTGTGCGCCCCCCCCCCACCAAAACACACATAAGTCAATGACCATAAACCACCATCATGCACACAAGCACACCCACTCACTGTTTCTATGTAAACATTGCAGGCTTTTAGAGAGATAGAAAAAGAAAGGTAGTCATCGACTCTTCCAGTTTCTCTCCTTTTAAGAGTCCTGAAGAGATGACACACACACACACATACACAAACACATGTTGTTTGGTTGTTCACCACCAGAGGGCGATAAAAACACGCGGTCCTCTCTAAACATACACTCAGAAAATTCTCATTCAAGCAAAGATATTTTTTCTTTAATTTTTTCAAAGTGTAGCTAAAGTGTTTCCTGTTCAATAGGCAGAAGGGACAATAGTGAATTCAAGTGAGACATCTAGCACTGATAAAGTTATTTTATTAGATTCTTTCCTACAGGTAAAAGGCCGTTTGTGCTAGTTCCCTTATGTTGTTGCAAAGCTCAACGTCCGTCTTTCCAGTCCTGCCTGAAGAGGCATTACCTTTTAGCACGAACAAAGTACAAAGCATTGGTTTTAGGGTAGTATTTAGCATTTTGTTTCTTGTCCATGAGGCCCCCAAATATGATAAGCTCCCCCCTGCCCTGCACCACAGTGTGAAGGCTAGTCTCCGGAGGCCCCGTGACTGCTGCGGGGGTGCCGTTACCGTAAACTTTCCAGGACACAACCCCCGCGGCTTTGGCCCGGGAGATGTCCAGCACGTACATCTGCATGGGCTTGCAGTTTGGGGAATGATAAAGAGGTTTGCCTACATTCAGACTCTGAGGCGGGTGATGGCCAAGGCGCCGCGCTATCGGTGGGATAGCATGTCCATCAGCTACAGTGGCCTGTGGTGGGCTGGAAGAAGATGACGGCGGGGTTCCTGAGGGGCCAGTTCCTCCTCCGCCAACTACGCTGCCCATAGGAGAAGCTCCCTGTGTTTGAAGGGAAGACGGCGGTAAAGATGAAGAAGACCTATTTTTTACTGCCTCTAGTCCTCTTCGTAGGGCAGCGGGGGACACTGCTCCAGGGGGTGTAAGAGGGGAGCTTGAGGGGGGAGTGTGCAGGCCATTGGTATTTGGGACGTCTTGGTGAAGAGCAGCAGAAGGAGGAGAATCCCACCCATAGTCTGTAGAACCAGGGAGATGAGGACGGGAGGGAGGAGAGCACCCCTGGGCCGGGCTGGTCCGAGGAGAAGGGGAAGATCCATTTATGAGAGAGGGAAGTGGGGGGAGAGGGGGGCTGTCAGGGCCTTGTGATGGTGACTGCTGCTGGGATGAGGAAGGACTCCCGTCTCTAGCGCTTCCTCTGGCTGAAGGTCGAGGTCTTAGCGTGCCCCACCGACCATTTACGCACGGAGCCTCTTCTGCACCACCCAGGACGACACCGGCGGCCCCGCTTCGGATAGGGGACTGAGAGCGCAGGGAGGGGGGCTCCGGCCCCAACGGGGCAGGTGTGGCACTTATGGGGGAAGGTCTTGAGTTAAGACTTGGACTAAGAGGCGCACGGCCTGATGGAGCCTGTGAGAAAACTACCACGCACTGGCCCACCTGGTGGAGAAGGGAGATCAGAGATTAATAATCACACATTGCAGTACTAACAGCTGATGGACGCTGGGCATTTTATTACCTCACTATTATATTACTTTTATATTGGTTATTCTACATCATATTCGTGTAATGCAAAAAAAGCAATCTGTCAACAACATGCTTTATAATAACGTTCCAAAATGTATAAAATATTTAACTACTGAGACAAATTAAGTTAATTATAACATCTTTAAGGTTGTCAGCAAATGGTTTGTTTATAGATAAAGAAATGTTTGCATACAAGTTGGGGGAGATTTGGGAATGAAGAGAACTGACTAAGAACCAATGGGACAGAAACTCACTTTACAAGCTGGGTGGCACCATAACTCTGGGGCTCCATGGTCCTCATTTTCCACCTGCAGCTGCTGCCACCTCCATGCAGGGCTATCCATGTGGAGGAGCCAGGCATCTTTAAGAAGCTGGAAATTTTAACAAGACAATAAATTAAAATATGGTCCATTTTGATCTCCTTCAAGCTCTGAGCTGAAAAAACTGGTTAAACCTTTTCACGGATCACAAACTTGCAAGAAAAATAAAAACAAGGGATCCTTAACAGGATGTTACTAGTTTAACGAGACAATATAATCTTTAAACACAATACTTTGGAAACGTTTTCAAATTGTACAGCTTCCAGAGAAAACATGCATTGTTGTACAGAACACAAGAAGCAGGAAGTGAACAAAAAAAATGAAGGTTTATACAGATTATTTTTTTGTATTTTGTAACTATTTTTGTAAAATCTATCATCAGAAATCCAAACTTGTGTTTTACTGGCAGTGTTGTTAGGCCAACTTACTGCATTAGGACCACCGCAGCCTCCCAATATAAGCAACGTCTTTTCATCAACAACGATCTAAAGGATAAAATAAAGACAGTTTTTATAATTCAATTACAAAATATGAACCAGAAAACTATTTAAGCTTCACTTATAAAAAGGAACAATAAAGCTTCTTACCTGTGACTGGCCTCCTCTGGGATGAGGTGATGGACACGATGTGGGCGGCTTGGACCAGGACCACTGCTCCAGATCCAGAACCCAAACTTCATTGCTCCTGATCAAAACCAGTAAATAAATTAGGGCTGCAACAACGGATCGATAAAATCGATAAAAATCGACTTTTAAAAGCGTTGGCAACGAATTTCATCATCGATTAGTTGTGTCGCGCGATTATTGCGTCATCCGCCGCGCCGTCATCACTGCCTCTTGACTGAAAGAGGAAGAAAAAAAAAATATGGCAGAGCGAGTCAGCGCCGCAGGTGCAGTGTTGCCAACTCAGCGACTTTTCAGACCCCTGCAGCGACTATTTTTCAAAAAAGCGACTAGCGACAAATCTGGCGACTTTTTTCGGTGTCACTGGCGGCTTTTAGAGACTCTTACGTGAAAGCATGTATCGTTCCTACTCTGCCGCGGGGCGCCTCCCCCACCCCAACCGCGTTTTCCCGCAGGAGTCCCTCTCAGCGCTGCAGTCAGAGGCTCAGCGTCCAGACTGCAAATGAAGCGCGCATGCACCGGGATTGAAGGCGCAAATTGATCACAATAATTAAAATAGCCTGTGCTTTGTAAAGCGAAAAAAGTGATAACATGCAACTTTTTTCAAAAGAAATTAACATGGCACGGAACCACCATGTTTGTTTGGTTTTAAAGTGGGGAAACGTTACGTTAGTTTCTCAGGTAGCTCATCTGATGCTTTCCTTACCTTGTTAGTAGGTTACAGACAGTGATAAGGTTGGCTACTTATTTTACTTTTAATTTCATTTGAATTAGCTTAAGCAGCGTTTACATTTACTTTATAAATAAATTAACTTGCAAATTATGAGGGCAAGGCTTTTAAAGTTTAAATCTTCTGGCAAAGATAAAGAAAAGAAGATCCTGCAATTTATGGAAGTAAAGCAGAATAAAATCCAGCAAGATCAGTAATATGTCAATTAATTATATGCCACATTCCCATGTAAATATCTGTCTTTGGAGGATGTGTTTTTTAGCACCCCTGGTTCTCTCATTTTTATTCCAAATACAATTTATAATTTGAATCACAGGGCTATTTTTATCTCTATGGTTCAGTATTTTCTCAAGTAGCAACTTTAACTGCTATACTTTCCTGTCTTAAAAGGCAGAACTCTTCTAGTCTAAAAAAACCTCATTTGTTGAAATGGGGGGGCCTATTGTTTGAACCCCTTAGGGGCTTTTAAAAACAAAAATGTATTTTTTTGCGCTTTATGAAACAAAGTACCCTATATTTTGTGGATGTACAGCTACATTTCTCATGTAAGTTTGCGTAGTTTTAACACAAACATTTATTTTTCATATTGCACCAGTACAGTTAATGAGCAACCTGTACTTGTGTGCTTGTTTGTTCTGTCTAAAATGTTTATTTTGGAATAAAGAGGTTAATATAAAAAATATTTTTTGTCCGATTCATCGATTAATCGAAAAAATAATCGTCCGATTCATCGATTTTTAAAATAATCGTTAGTTGCAGCCCTAAAATAAATTTACAGTGTAAGAGGAGTTGATTGCAAAATAGTTTATTATTCACCTAAGAAACTCATCCTAGATTTCCTCCATGTTTGGTATATTCCAAATGAACTCTGATCCAATGATTCGCCTGCTTGTACTTTAGCAGAGCCAATGATTTATCAGCAGCTTTATTTCCCAACTGGGATTTTCCCACTGAGAGACATTAACTCATATTTCTACCTTCTATTCTCCTCCATTTCATTAATTCCCTGCTTTTAACACTAATGTGCCGTTCTGCACAAAGCTAGACCTGCTTTCACTGACTGTGTGGACATAACGTGTTTTTTTTGGCGTGGGCAATCTGCCTTAAACCTTTGAAATGCTTCCTAATGTTTGTCCGATTAGCTACACATTTAAATCAAATACATAATCCTGACTTCCCATTAAAAAATAAAGTAATCCATACAATAATCTTACATCTGGCGTGCTCCTAATGATCCCCCGAACACTATCATGGAGCTTCCAATTACAGATGATGAGTGTCCTGCCATAGGTGGAGGTCCATGTGTCGTCACTATACAATTCCACCTAAAACAAAAAATAAAAAAAATAAACCCCACAAGTAATATGAAATGATCAATAGTTAGACTAAGACATGAACTTTCCCATCTTTTGTCTAAACCACACCCTCCCAATGACTCTGGAGTCCATCTCACCAGTTTTTTGAAGGTGAGTAGGTGTGAATTTCATCAAAAAACCTCTCAGGTTGGTGAAGTGGGTAAGGACTGGGGCGCGTCCAGCCTCCAAAAAGCACTAACAGATCTTTGTGCATCACCAGAGTGGCTCCAGCTTTTGGAGATGGATATGAGCCTGTGGAAAATACACCAACAAAATCACTAACACCTTTGTGATGATTCTTGTCTGTAAAAATAAAATGTTGCAACACAGAATCGTATTTCAGAGGAATACAATGAGGTTTAAGACACTCTAGAGGCCGATTGAAGCTCTTAAACAGTTCAGATTTCCCATTTCTTTCGGCCTACTGCAAAGTTCTTACCTGAGGCTAAAGGGCGGATCCACTCTTTGCTGTTGAGGTCCAGTCTCCATAGATCGTTAAAGGCAGCATTGCAGCTACTCTGAGTGCACCCCCCAAAAACATACATGGACTGATTTGAGTCATAATAGCATGCACCTGTAAAACAAATAAATAAATAAAAAAAGATTTATGATACAAAAATCTGCAATAATAAAGGGATCATTAAAAAGTGTCCATATCCTTTGTTTACATTTTGTTACATTAAAAACATTAAGCTTATATGTGACAGAGCCACCCCACTTAATGCAGAAATAGGAAGTGGAAGGAAAATTAAATATGGATCTTCATGGATCATGAATATTTATTAAAAAGTTACAATCTGAAAAGTGCACATTATATTTCACCAAGTTTACTCTGACGCCCATAAATTAGATTACTTCAGACTCCATATAGGATTTAATTCAATTTCATTACAAATAAAACTACACTCTAAAACTCAAACCAACATCATAGCCGTTTCCCTCAAATAGATAAGGAAGCTACTTTGAGTTAATTTGCAGATGGGAAAAAAAAAGAAAGAGATGGAGAGCTTGGCCTTCAAGCAGCACCATAGTGACAACAGAGCCATGGTTTCACTGGAATGGTTCAGATCAAAACCAATACAGTTGTTGGTCCAGCAAGAGTCCTAACGTAAATGATAAAGGAGTATCTACAGCAAAACCTAAAAACTGACATAAATGAAGGTCCCTTCTCCAATCTGAGTGAGCTTGAGCTATTTTGCAGAGAAGAATAGGTAACTATTTTAAAATCATATCTATAGTATATTTGCAAAGTTGGCACTGGCAAAACTCAAGACTTGAAGCAGAATCTGCAGCAAATGGTGTTTCTACAGAGTACTGATCAACTACCACGAACTGAAATCTGAAAAATTTACTTGGGTTTCCGGTTTTTAAAGCTACAACCAGTTCAAATAGTATGAACCGGCTGCTGTAAAATCTATAATTACATTTCAGATGTTATATCTGTAATTTAAAAGTAATTGTCTCCAGTCTTTAAAGCCAACAAGCATGGCACTTTGTTTTGATATCGGTGACCTTCTTAGATGAGGTTGAGCCCATATTTGTTAACAAGATCCATGTGAGAAAGAGTATTTGACTGGTACCCATGATTTTAAGCACTGTATACTGACTGTGTGAAAAGCGCTGCGTGATTGGGGTTCCAGGATACGGGTATGTTCGGCTTTCCCATTGGATATTTCCCTCCTGGACAGCTCTCAGAAAACCATGGTAACACTGATAGGCGACACCTGTTTCAGAAGAAAAAAATGTAAGAAGGAAACATTATAGGGAAAAGTACGACGGAGTATTAGGGCCACACATGAAGAGAAAAAATATTTTTGCCATGACGAGATTAAACTCGACATGTCGACTTTAAAGTCGACATGTCGAGTTTAAAGTCGACATGTCGAGTTTAAAGTCGACATGTCGACATTAAACTCAACATTTTGAGAATAAAGTTGAAATGTCATGTTGAGTTTAATCTCGACGTGTCGACTTTAAACTCGCCATTTCGAGAATAAAGTTGATATATCGTGGCGACTTTAATCTCGACATTCCAAAGTTTGGAGAAATTAGCAACCGAGCTCCACAGCTGCAGTCTGCACTTTAAGAGTGAAGGTAGTCTTTGACGTGCTGCAACTGTATAGGATTCTGTGCATGTATCCTGTGCAGCGGTTGGCTCTCTTGAACTAATTTAAATTTTATTGTCGACACGTCGAGATTAAACTCAACATGACATTTCAACTTTATTCTCGAAATGGCGAGTTTAAAGTCGACAGGGCGAGATTAAACTCAACATGACATTTTAACTTTATTCTCGAAATGTTGAGTTTAATGTCGACATGTCGACTTTAAAGTCGACATGTCGAGTTTAATCTCGTCATGGCAAAAATATTTTTTCTCTTCATATATGGCCCTAATACTCCGTCGTAGAAAAGTGTTCTCGCTATCAGAACTGTAAAAATTAGTTATGTTATTCCTACATCAACCACACACATTCTCTGACAGTAATCATAATTAGATCAAAACACCTGTATAAGATTACATATGTTCTACATGGAATTACCTTTAATAAGACGATACCACTGCTTACACACCAGTGCAGCGGTCTTATGCTCCTGGTAAGGTGAGAGGAAGGACAGAATATATTCAAGGACTTCCTCCGGCAGCTCAACCATCGTTCTCCCCTTCCCTTTGGCACCAGTGTCCATGTTTGCTTCTTGACAACAGGACCCCATCTTTGACTCCATTCCGTCTCTTAATTCAGTTTGCTGTGCACCCTCATCCTCTGTATCCATGGCAACAAAGTATTCATCTTCATTGTCGGGGGAAAGGGACATTATTTTCTGATGAGACATATGAAGACATGTTGATGATCTGTACAAAGAATGCGTGTGAACACCAGATCTAGTGAACGTCACAGAGGGATAAATCAATGTATAATTTTCTCTACTGACCCAGAGAGATAACATGCTTTGTTTGGTTCATTTACACAGTGAATAATAATGACTGGGAGTCCTTGGATCAAAGTTAAACAGATATGATTCTGATAAAAAGCAAAACCATGTGACCATAGTTACTATTTCGGATCAACCGTGTAAATAATCAAAATAGTTTGAAATCGATGATGCTCTTTCTTCGAACGGTTCTTTTCGTCTGCATCTATTCCATTAGCTATGTCTAGCTAGCTAACTTTAGCTTCCACATCATTTACAAAAATCAGTTTTTACTCCGCTTCCAAACATTTTTAAAAGCTGTAATAATTATAAGAGATTAGTACGTTTCTTCAAACATAAAAGATAGTTTAGCAGATTGTAACCGACCAGTTAGCCTGACGAACTGAAGGTTTGATTCTGGTTGGCTAATACATGCTAACACTAGCTAAGCTACCAGAAGCATCCAGGCTAGCAGTAGTTCCCTGTACTAGTTTATATTTAATTGAGGAGTTATACACACACACACACATTTTCCCAAGAGTTCGGAATTATTAATATATATAAAATGACGTTAACCCTGCCGACGTGACACTAAGTCAACATCAGTTAGGAGCCATAACGTCCATCCTTGGCTTCTGTTGATAGTCTTTGCTAATATTAGCCTCAGCAGGGAGACTGCGTTTACCTATGGCTGTCGGGGTTCCAAGCTTAAATTTTACATTTTAGCAGTGGAAAATCCATCTTCCTACCTTTTCTATTTATAATCCTTTCAGGGTTCCGGGTGTCTATATATCCTCTGCTTCTCCACGGTTATCAGCTCCACCGATTCCTCCATGCAATCGCCATCTTCCGCTATGTGAGCAGTCTGTTCCCTCCGCTCTGCCTCTACAGGAGGGGCTGTTTGGTACCAGGGGTGGATCCTCAGGCCCCAACACTCCGCTCTCTCATCAAACAGGGTGAACGGATTCAAACAGAACTGCGGCTGTTGTTGATTCCCTTCATCTCAACACATATATATAATTATATACATTACTTAGAAATTACATTATGAACTCTGGTAGAGCAGGGGCGTAGCCAGAATTTTTTTTATAAGGGTGGCCAGGCAATAACCAATGTAGACTGACGGGTGGCCCTCAGCCTTTTCTAACAAATAGAGGCATATATTTAAACATCCGTAATTTCTACGGTAGATAAAAGGTATAGTGGATAAAACTCAGTTTTGAGTTCTGGGGTGTAAATCAATCATCATTGTCTTTATTTAGCTATTTGTATCAATAAACATTCTGCATACAAATTATATTTACAAGCTCTAATATCTACATAAATTGATTATTTGATATGTTTTTATTAAAATTGTCATTTATCTTTTATTTCACTGAAGACTCCTCGATGACCTGCAGAGACACATCATTTTCTCTTTACCCCATATATGTAAAATATCAATGAAATGTTAAAAAAGACAATAGTGCATCGACAAAATAGCTGTTCTTCCTCATGTTGCCGAACAACTGCTCAGCACCCTGATTGTTGGACCCAGTCCATGAGGTCAGGATCAGGGGCTGTCCTCTAGAGCAGGGCTGTTCAATGTTTTCTAGGCCAAGGACCCCCAAACTAATGGCGAGGTGGAGCGGGGACCCCCTAATTATATATATTGCATTAAAATGTGTTATGTCAAACCGCTCCTATAGTCACTCTACTACAGATGGTGTTATGTAACAAAAGTAATTTCGCCCTGGGATTATTAAAGTATTTCTGACTCTGATTCCTGGTTGATGGGACAGATGTTGTGAATGAAATGGTGCCCAGGTTGAAAGAGCTTCTGTGTGTCGCTGAATGTGTGCATTGATGACTGAAAGACATCTTCTGCCTCCATTTATCTGTTTACAACAGTGTGTTGAATTTATGTTAATGTGTATTTAAAAACATTTCAATTAGTGGAAATAAATTACAGGGCGGAATATAAAAAAAAAGTCCAATCAACCAAAACTTTCGTGACCCTCATGCAGTACCTCTGTGGACCCCCTAGGGGTCGCGGACCCCCTGTTAAAGACCTCCGCCCTAAAGTATTTCTTTAGGATCCTTAGTTTTCCTTCCAAGAAAAAAAAAATTAGTAGATTGAATGAAGTGATTATCCTCTCTACGATTGCTTGGAGGTTTCAATACACATCCATTTGCTTATTTGTAGCAACAATGAGCTGATCGGCTGCTAACTGCAGATTTCGACCAGACGTCTCAGGCAGCAAGCCCTCATGTTGACTAGGAGGCAAAAGTTCAGGCTTCCTCAGGATGGTAACATTTGCCAATCCACTGGCAGTATCACAGATGGTGCTCCCAAGTGACATATCAGCACAGTCTTTGAGGCTCTGCACTCAACTTATATCATATAGATCACAGCACAGCAGCTATGACTGCCCAACCATCAATGGAAAACACAAACTAACTGACACTGTCTGTATTATCCATTACTTACAATAGTATGGTTCCTGTGAGGACTCTGTACTCTATTTATTCTCTTTTTAAATACATTTTAAAAAGCATGTATTTATTCCATAGATAAGCTATACCATTACTGTACAGAGTAGCATGAGCCTTTAGGTTTTGTTTTTCTGACAGGAAAGGGGGCATGAGAGAGTGGGAGAGACATGCAGCAAAGGACCACAGGTCAAATTCAAACCAGGGTCGGCCGCGTCGAGGACTGAGGCCTCGACCTCCACAAGGCCCCTGCGCCACCTGCATGCCCATGCAAATGGTATTAATGTCCTTTTTATATTTTATCAAAAATGACTTAACTAGGTAACAGTGGTGAATGATTTTAGAGGAAACCTCTTTAACGTTGTTTACTAGTAAATATTTATGGGGTAGACACCACGTTTTGTTCCAGCAAACTTCTGAAACCAGACCAGACCAAACTGAAATTAGTTAAGAAACTGAGATGCAGCTTGCTTGGAATAAAGTGCAAATATATATTTTTTTATTTTTAGAAGATTTCGGTTGAAAACACTGTCTACTTATATAAGTATCAGTTGGATCAGGTAGAGGTCTTGGGCCTTTGGAGAACAGAGAACCCTTTACATAACATTATAAGACCTAGTGGATCAGCATAAAAAACAATAACAAACTGATTGGGGCTTTAATGAATCTTAAAATGGCATAAAAAGTATTGATATTTAAATAGGTTGCTGTTTTTCATTAAAAAGTTGACTTGCCAGTGTGATATCATTCTTAAACCAGTTTTCAAAAAACAGAGAATTTTTCTTATAACATATATCTTTGTTAATTAAATGGAAGTACCAATTTAGAGAAAATTGTGTTTGAAAATCAGTGACCAGACCAAAAGGACTTGTCTATGGAAATTAGAGAGAGCGACAGGAATACAATCATTGTTATAATTACACACCAAAACTAACTTAAGAACATGTGGTGAGGAATAATATTCCACATTGAGGTAGGATTTTTAAGGCAATTTTTAATCTAGTCCACTTTGAATGTATTGTTAACTGTCATTAAGTCAAGAAAGTTAAGACCTCCTGTATCATAACTATTTATTAAAACAGTTTTTTTATATAACGAATTGTGTTTTTCCAAATAAAGTTGAATAGTGTGCGATCAAATTCATTCAAAATTCTTCTTCTTCTTTTCTATTATGGCAGATTGCAAGCAACTTTAAGGTGCATACCGCAGCCTACCGTACATGAGTGTGTAGCTTACAAAATCTTGACCATAGTTTTTTTTTTTATTCGGCTGTTTTTTTTTGTTTTTTTATATATATATCTAAACTTTATTAGAAAACACTTTATAATACAGAGAGTACACATTTCAGTGAACAATCGCCAGGGTTTGAGTTAAAAGTAATTCATAAATAAAAAATAACTAAATAAAAGTAAAAATAGCAATAGTAAATAGATGCATGTAACGGGATTACGTAAATATTTTAAATTTAGAGCATAAAGATAGAGTTTTAACAGCCTTTTTGTTAGTGGAGGAGGAAAATGTAGAAAAATAAGTTGCTGATACATGAGGGTTTAGTCATAATAATTTTACATTTGTGGATATAAAACTTGGCCAACAGTAGCAAAAGATTACATAAAACGAATGGGTCAGAAAGTTCTTTTTTTTTTATTTTGTGATTCCAAATAAAACATCTTTAAAATAAAGTTCAAAACTGTCATAAATATTGTCCAGAATAAAGCGACAGATACCTTGCCAAAAACACCTGGTTTGTTCACAGGACCAAAACAGGTGAGAAATGTTGCAGAAAGTACAAGTGGTATTAATGTCCTTTTTATACTTAAACAAAAATGACTTTACTGGAAAACAGCGGTGAATAATCTTAAAGGAAACATCTTCAACCTTGTTTACTAATAAATATTTATTGGGTAAAGACCATGTTTTGTTCCAGCATACTTCTGAAACCAGACCAGACTGAAATTACGTAAGGAACTGAGATGCAGCTTGCTTGGAATAAAGTACGAATATGTTTTCTATTTTTAGGAGATTTTTTTGCTGAAAACACAATTTCCCTATATAGGTGTCAGTTAGTTCAGTTGGAGGTCTTGGGCCTTTGCAGAACAGAGAAGTCTGACCTTTACAGAGATGTAAAAAAGAATTGGTTCCCAGCATTTGTATTTATTTAATACATTGTGGTGTTTTAAAAGTGACCATTATTTGACACGATTAATTTGCTCAGAACTGCTGCAATTGATCATAAAGCAGTTGTTTGGAAAAGAAGCTCGAGGCGGAGAAAGAGCTAGAGAATAGAACGATACAAATTTTAAAAAGTGTCTGGAAAAGAGGAATTCATGACATGGCTCCATCTATCTATCTATCTATCTATCTATCTATCTATCTATCTATCTATCTATCTATATAGATATACATCTATATATATCTAAATATAGATATATATGCAAACTTCAGTCATGGAACTGTGCTTACAGCTCCTTATTTCATGTGAACTAATAACTTGTGTACATGTTACTTGTTGATGGCATTAAAATTATTTCTATTAGCATTAAATTAGAGTTCCTCATTCCTATATAAACCCTGTGAACGTTTAATTTAATATGACATATAAAAAAAAAATCCCCAACATTTAATTTGACAAACCGGGTCTTCTGTACATTCTTTTTCCTGTTTGGTGTGATTGCAATTGCGGGTCTTGATCTGGACTGACTGGAGCGGAGCAAAAAAAAGAGCTCAGTTCCGTATTTTGATGGTGAAGGACGGAGAAGACGTACGTGGACAGAGACGTGCGGAGGATGTGGAACAGATCTCATTGATTTACATGACAGACAAGTAGGCCTACTCCGCACAACGTACGTGAGCGGAGTGGAGCGCTGACGGAGTATGTGGAATCTGGGGGTAAAGAAAGACAAATACAGACAGTGCAATGAAAATCCGGACTGTCCGCCCTAAAGCTGGACATCTGGCCACCCTACTTCCAACTCCTGTTCTTTCCCACTCGCCACACCGACACAATTCTCCACAACAACTGATTTTTTCTGCTACGTTCGGCTACGCTGCTTCGCTTCTTCTTCTTCTTGTTTTCTACTGGTGGTTGGCTTTGGTCGCAGTACCGCCACCTTCTGCTCGGGAGTGTAAACGCTTCGCCTATGAGAAAAAGGAGCCGCGCATGAACCGAACGAAACACACGCAAATCGAACCGAGACAGTCGAACCGAACGGTTCGGACGGTTTTCATAAACCATTCCATCACTAATATAAATATATATATATATATATATATATATATATATATATAAATATATAAATATATATATATATATATATATATATTAGTGCTGTCAAAATTATCGCGTTATTATCGCGTTAACGCGAGGCCATTTTAACGGCGATAATTTTTTTAACCTGAGATTAACGCTATGTGGTTTTATGGTACAATTTTCCAAGTACATCCCGCTGCAGCCTGCGGGAAGG